GGAGTTAGCTGCCAACTCAGGGAAACGGGGTAGGAGAGAAACTGGAAAATACAGAGTAGAAAATGTGAAAACTACGTAATTCTTTCTTTAAAGCTTAGATCCTGCTTTAGTTTCTTGTCTATTGCTGTTTCCTTGGTCTATATCATGACCAAGGAAACTCTTGTGAAAGAGCGAGTTTAATTGGGCTTATGATCCCAGAGGCTTAGACTCTGTGATGGCAGGGTGAAGGCGTGGCGCCAGGTGGTTGGAGAAGCACCTGAGAGCTCACCTCTTGATCCACAAGCAGAAGGCAGAGAGAGCTAGCTGGGAATGGCAAGTCTTTGGAAACCTCAAAGTCCACCCCCAGTGGCACACCTCCTCCATCAAGCCCACATCTCCTAAGGCTTCCCAAACAGTCCCACCAACTGGGAACCAGGTCCTCAGACATATGGGCCTGTGGGGGCCATTCTCATTCAGAGACCACAGATCCTGTCAGCACTTTGTGGTGTGCCCATTATCAGTAGACTTGCATATTTTGAACATCTTTCCACAGTGACACGCTTGCACCTTAATGTTTTTCACACCCTTGGGTCTTCCCTGTCCTGTGCTATCAATTTTTCTTTTTATGTTACGAACAACACATCTGTTTTTAAATTTAGATTTTTAGTTATTTGTACGTGGAGAGCAGTATTGCTTATAAGTGCAGGTGCCTGTGGAGGCTAGAGGGAATCCCATCCCCTAGAGATGAAGTTAGAGGCATTTGTGAACTGCCACACATGGGTGCTGAGAACGGAGCTGGATCCTTTAAAGGGGAGCAACATGAGGTTTAGCTGCTGAAATGTCTCTCCAGCCCTTGATATTTATTTTGAAAAAGGAAGGAGGAAAGTATTTTTTAATCAGAATTTACTTTGAGGGTCAGAAGAGACGGCTCAGTGGTTAAGAAGACTTGCTGCTCTTCCAGAGGACCTGAGCTGAATCCTAAGCACCTACATAATGGTTCACAACTGTTTGTAACTGCATTTTTTAGGGAATCCGATGCCCTCTTCTGGCTTCTGAGGACACTAGGCATACAGGTGACATGAGATATACATATGATCAAAACACTCATAAAAATAAAATTATTTTTAAAAAGGAATCTACTTTGATTGTCCACTGAGACATGACTTCCTAGATCAGTGGTTCTTAACCTTCCTAATGCTGCCACCTTTTAATACTGTTCCTCCTGTTGTGGTGACCCCCAACCATAAAATTATTTCATTGCTAATTCATAACTATAATTTTGTTACTGTTATAAGTTGTAATGTAAATATCTGTTATGCTACCCTGTGAAAGGGTCGTTTGATCCCAAGGGGTCATGACCCACAGGTTGAGAACCATTGTCCTAGATCTTTTCAATAAACTTTTGCTACCATCCTGTAAGATTCATTCACAGTAAACATTCTTTAATTTTATATGTCAGGGCTTTTTATCCTTTTGAGTTTTATTTTAAATTTTGTAACTAACTAACATGGAAGAGGCAGGTCTTCTCAGTTTATCAGTTCAAGAATATAGGTTTCTGGTGGCGTACACCTTGAATCCCAGCACTCAGGAGGCAGCTCTGTGAGTTTAAGGCCATCCTGGTCTACAAGTGAGTTCCAGGACAGCCATGGCTACATAGTGAGACCCCATCTCAAAAACAAAACAAACAAACAAACAAACAAACAAACAAAAAACAAATCAAAACCATGAGTTTGCTTGCTAACAGTAAGTTGCAGGGTAGAAATTTGTACCACTGTGGTGCATACAAGCGATAAATATTTCTGGAAAGATTATGTGGCTGTCACAAGACATGGTACATAGTAAGGTTTTATTTAGAAAAGTAAGACTTCAGCCGGGCGGTGGTGGCACACACCTTTGATCCCAGCACTCGAGAGGCAGAGCCAGGTGGATCTCTGTGAGTTCAAGGCCAGCCTGGGCTACAGAGTGAGATCCAGGACAGGCACCAAAACCACACTCAAAAACCCTGTCTCAAACCGTCCCCAACCCCCCAAAAAATAAGGCTTCTTGACAATTAACTGAAAAGATTTGGCTTGGGTTTTTTGTTTTTGTTTTTGTTTTGTGTGTGTGTGCGTGTATAGAGGTGTGTGTATGTATGTGTGTATGTGTGTGTATGCATGTATAGAGGGGTGTGTGTGTGTGTTTGTGTATGTGTGTGTGTGTGTGTGTGTGCAGAGGTGTGTGTGTATATGTGTGTGTGTGCACGCGCATGCATGTATGAGGGGTGTGTGTGTGTTTGCATGTATAGAGGTGTGTGTATGTGTGTGTGTGTGCATGTGGAGGCCAGAGGCCAACTTTGAGTGTTATCCTTAGGAGCCATCCACCTTGTGTTTTGAGACAGTGTCTCTCACTTGGACCGGGACTTGTGGACTAGGCTAGATCTGCTGCCGTCAGATCGTCTCCAGTGTCCCGTGCTGAGGTCACATGCACACCATCGCACCTGCCTTTTTCTGTGTTTCTGGGAATCCAGCTCTGGTCCTGTGTGTGCACAGCAAGCACGTTACAGACGAGCCGCCTCCCCAGCCTTTGGCTTGGTTTTGTTTGAGACAGTGTTTTCCTCCATAGCCCAGGCTGGCCCTGAACTCAGCAGTCATCTTGCTTCAGCCCCCAGAGTACCAGGATCACAGGCCTGAGCCACTGTGCCTGGCTTTGAAAATGTTTCTTAACATCTGTTTTGGTCTAGATAGCTCACGAGGGTGGAGGTAGGCGTTGCGCACGGTGAAATAGAGGAAGCCGGTGTCGATCAGATGATCACCCCATTGAACATGTGATGAGGAGAGCAAGTGCTCCAGAACGAAGAGCATGGTTCTGGGAGCACTCCAGTCTGGAGTCTGCGGTGACTTCCCCAAAGAAATGGTACTTGAAAAAAGCCGGGAAGAGGGGGCAGTAATGTCAAATAAAAGCATGTCAAATAAAGGCTGCAGCAGGCCTAGTAGAGCTTGGAACACAGAGAAGAGAAGGGAAGCCCAAATGTATGGTGCCTCATACGCCATAGCAAAAAGCACAGATTTGAGTGATTCGATCCTGACAGCTGTAGAAAGCCCCTGAAAACATCTGTGCTGTTCCAGATGTTCCCAAGTGTCCCGGGATCCCTTAACCCAGCATCAGAATCCAGTGATTCCTATAACGTATTCCCAGCTCTCTGGCGGGACTTCTAGTCTTCTAGTCTTTTTAAAACTGCCATCTACCATTTTGTCCTTCAGCCACTTAGTTACCAGTTTATCCCTAAAATTCCCTAATTCTGTTTCCATGGCAACAAATGCACTCAGTGTCATACCTGCTCTTACTTCAGTTCAAGCCCTCCGCCTCTACCCAGGCTAGTATAGTAATCTTTAGCTGTCTCTGCCTTGCCTTTTACCCATGGCCACCTTTCCCCCAAATAAACTGAAGATAGCTTCTCACACATTCCCTAAGGTCCCCTGTGACCTGATAGTGTGGTCTCACACATTTTTGAACCTTAAAAATAGCCAGATGGCTATATAGTTTGTACCATAAAATTTACTCATTTAAAGTATGGCACTGAATTATTTTTAGCATACGCACAGCTACACAATCATCACCACACTCTAACATTAGAATGTTTTTGTTGCCCCCCAAATAAGGCCATGCCCATTAGCAGCCACACCCACCCACAACTTCTGTGCAGACTTAGGGAAGGACCAACCTATTTTATTTCCCTAAATTCACAGGACATTTCACATAAACGGAATCACAGAACCTCTGCTTTCCCATAAATATCTCCTTTCAAGGCACATCCATGTTTAGTGTATGCCAACACTTTTTTGTGAGAGAAGGCTATCCCATTGTATGGATAGGGGACGTCTGTTTATCCAGGTCTGATTGCTTCTTTGGAATCTGATGTTTAGAAGCTTGGGTGGTGTGGTGCTGTTCCATCTCCATTTCCTATGATGAGTGCATAGTGCCTTGAACTTGGTACTGTTCAGTCAGCCTTGATTAGAGTGTGCTGAGGGTGAGGTAAGATGGACTGTTGCTCTGCTTAGAACAAGCATTCCTCGGCCGTCTTCCAGTGAGGCTCCTAAGAGTAGGAACGAGTAGACCAGCTTTGCGATGTGCTGGGTCATATCCTTGCCTTCCCCCACTGTACTGTGGTCATGCAGAGGATGGGGGTAATATTCCTTTTAACTTGTGAGAAGTTATGGCTCTTATTGAAGAGTATAAAAGCGAAGGTGAAAATGTGAGTGTAACATTCATAAAGTCTTAGAAGAGCAGCAGGTACCTACCTTGAATAGGCCCATTGTCTGTGAGTGAGAGACCTACAAGAGGGGACCGGGGGATGTTAGTGACTTTGACCACATACATGGAGGTGACAAAGTTTCCCGACTGCCTCATTCAGGAGACTTAGAAAATAGAAATTCATTCACTCTGGCTTGAAAATTAGCCAGCACTCGGTCAGGATAGACCCTGGGTGGACTGTGCACAGTACTTACTGGAGGTGCTTTCTTTCAATCAGAAAACCTGAAATGTGTTAGGTCTCCTTCTAGGGAAGAGGAAAAATTTGAGATCTGGAGTCGCAACCACCTCAAAGTAGCAGAGACCTGATGCCCCTGGGCTGGACCAGCTCTCCAGTAACATGGAAGACAGTTACCGCATATGTATAGTACTCTCTGCTTAATTAAGCACTATTTTTCTTCTTTCTTGTATATGGTGTGTGTGTGCGCGCACACGCACACACAGACGTACATGTTTTGCTGAGGTCAAACCCAGGGCCTCAAGCATGCAGCACAAAGCTCTCTACTGTGGAGCTGTATCCCCCGCCCAAGTTCATTCTCTTATGTTGTCCTCATGGCAGCACTGTGAAGAGTGCTGAACAGATAGCCCTCAGTCCACCGATGGGAAAACCAAAACCACAGCCAGCCGGAAGCAGAACCACGCAACGTCTTCTGACTTCTCAGCGTGTGCTCTTGCTACACTATTTAATAGTACCTGCCTTTTCCGCGAATGGCTAAAACTGATTTTGTCCGCAGAGCCATGGGGGTGTTGATGTCCAAGCGGCAGACGGTGGAGCAGGTGCAGAAGGTGAGCCTGGCTGTGTCAGCCTTCAAGGATGGGCTACGGGACAGGCCTTCCATTAGACGTGGGGGTGAGCTGCCAGGGTCCCGCCGCGGCACTGTGGAGGGCTCTGTTCAGGAAGTACAGGAAGAAAAGGAAGCAGAGACAAGTGGCCCCGTGGTCCAGGAAGAGAGCAGTATCAACCGTGCAGCCTGGGAGCGGCTCCGAGATGGGCGTGGAATTGAGCCTGAGGAGTTTGACAGAACCAGTCGATTCACACCCCCTGCCTTCATCCGACCCACCCGGAAGCTGGATGACGACAAACCTCCAGATATCTGCTTGGATCCCCGGGAGGCTGTGAGTGTTCTGTTAAGGCAGGATTCTCCTGTCTTAGCCTTTATAAGGATCAAAGAACAGGACAGGGAAAGCTAGGTGTGGCTGAGGTGAGACTTGGAACCAGAAGATGGAGTTGGGTTCTGAACAGTCCTTTTCCCACAAGACAGGTTTAAATGTGTCTCGGTAGAGAGTGCTTGCCTTGCATGTTCAAGTCCCTGTGTTCTATCCCCAGTACCACAAAGGGAAACGGTATTCCATGTGAATGAAATACTGGGTATATCTTGAATTAGTCATAGTGAAAGACTTGGACTTTTGAGTGGGACGGAATGGCGGCATGACAGATCTTGCCCTAACCCTATCATCTGTGGATTCTCAACCACACAGGGTACTAACCCCTGCAGGGGACATTTGGGAAACTGAGAAGGGGGAACTGGGGTAAGATACAATGGTTGGGGGCTTCTGCTGTCATAAAGTATCAAGACAGCTGGGGATGTTAAATGTCGTATAATGCTTGGGACAATCACTCACACAGATTATTTGCTATGAAGTGCTAATTGTATCCCTGTTCCGAAGCATAGTAGCAGAGCCCTAAGCAGCCAGAAGAGCTTCCTGGTTTTCATCCACCAGGAAGAACACTCTTACAACCTTAACCGCGGCTCCAGAGAGACCCAGCCCCATGCAGCAGCTGCAGGATCTCGCTATCTGTACCTTCAAATCCTGTTCCTTCCTGCCAGGTTGTCAACGATGAGATGTGTGATATCTGTGAAGTCTGGACCGCTGAGAGCCTCTTCCCATGCAGAGTCTGCACCAGGGTTTTCCACGACGGTTGCCTGCGCCGCATGGGCTACCTCCAAGGAGACAGTGCAGCGGAGGTGACGGAGATGGCCCATACAGAAATAGGCTGGAGCTGCTACTACTGTGTGAGTCTGGACTGCGGGACGGTAGGAAGACTTGGCATTCTTTCCAGAGGCCCAGTCTTAAAAATGACTGTTTCTAAGCAGTGATTTAAGGGGTTTTCCAATAGTGCACGCAAGGGTCCTCGAGCTAGACAATCAGTTCTTTGCTGGGAGGTGCATTGTATGGCACTTAAAAAATAATATGCTAGGAGCACCTGGGCCCAGTTGTAACACACCAGACCTTTGCCAAGTGTGTTCCAGGGGGAGCAAAACCACCCTCAGCTAAGCATCATACGAAGAATAGGCCTAACTGATGGAAAGTAGTTCTGCATAGGGAAGTGCTAGGTTCTCTAAAAGTCTACAGCTGTCATTCCTTATACCTGAACCCCAGCCTGCATCCTGAAGAGCGTGCATCCAGCAGAGGTAGATCCTGTCGCAGGAAAACACTGTCTTGATGTCCTCACCTGACCTACTGCCTGTTAGGAGCTTTTGTTCCTCATCTCTGAAGTGATCATTATGTGAATTAAATAGCAAAGCTGTATTGATTCGTAACTCTGCAACTATATATAAATGCCTTCCAACTCCTAATGGCAGAAGGAATCTAAGGTTTCCATTGAAAGCTGGATTCACAGCCATTTATCACCATCCGGGAGCAGAATCCCGGCCTTTCCTTCCTGCTGTGCTATCCTGCAGACTCTTCACTACCCTCTGATTCAGTGTAAGGAGCAGCTGGCGACTGTCCTCCTCCTCTGCCTGCAGAAAGCAGACATGCGCTACTTTCTGACTCTCCACCCATGGCTGATCCACAAAATCAAGTCTGGAAGCTATTTCCAGCTGCTAAATACCTCCCCTCTAGAATACACCACAGAAGACCCTACTCTATGGCCTCTCTACCCCCCGCCTCCCTCTCTCTCTCTCTCCCCCGACCCTTACATACACTATATTGCCACCACCACCAGCCTTTCACTTACAGCAACCCTGCTTGCCAGTGTGCTGCCAGCATGGGCCTGGGTCAATATGTGTCTCTTTGCGGTCTCCCAGAATGCTCTGCTTCCTTCCCAGCGCTGCTGGGGTCCTGCCATTACCAACATCACCTCTACCAGCTTTTTACAAAGACTTCCTCCCAGTTCCTCCCTTTCTTTTCCTTCCATTCACAATCACACTTCTTAAGAGCGCTTCCCTGCCTCCTGACTCCTCCACCCCTCCAGCCTGACCTCTGCATTCAGCACCTTGCTGAACTGGCTTGTACTGAGGTCATCAATAATCTCCTAATTGTCAAGTCCAATGATCTGTTCTCTGGCGCCTTCTCACTCAGCCTTTCTGAGTGAAGTGTTGAGCCCTGCCTTATTCCCTTCTCTTTCCTTAGCATTTATTTTTTAGAATTTATACAGTATGTGGAAACTAGAGATTCACAAATAATAAAAATCCCGCCACATGTATATTACCACTGTTAATTCACCTCTTACGGCACAGCGCCGTCTTTGCTTGGTATCCAGTACTCCCGGTCTCTTCCAGCCTTCTTTGACCATTCTTTCTCAATACCCTTGGTTTATTTCCAGCCTAGGTGCTGTGTTCCTCAGGATTCCGTCGTTTTTCTCACGTATTTGCTGTCTTTGAGTGACTTCATCCTATAACCCACTATCTACACATTCGTGATTCCCATATCTGTGTCCAGACTTAAATTTCCTGTCTCAGGGGCTTCCCCATCTTGATGTCTCACCAGCAGTTCATGCTCAGAATGCCCCAAATGAACTCATCTTTCTGCCTGAACCTGCTCTTCCTCCATCCCTTATCTCTGTGAGTAGTAATATCATTCACAGTTTCCCATTCCAGCTCTTCCCTGGCCCTCATCCCTCCCAGCGGGTAAGTCACCAGCTTCTGTTGACTGGACTGCTGACGTCCCCCAGCCCCTTCCCCGTCCCTGTTCTCATGTCCGGGTTTACACACTCATTTTTCTTACCTGTACCTTTGCAACAACCACCTACCCGCTCTCTGTACGACTTCCCTACAGCAGTCAGAGATGGATGACAGCCACCTCTGTGCCTCCCTGTTGTCCTTAGAACGAAGGCCCAAGCTAAGGGACTCAGTGAAGGCCATCTGAGGAGCTTCACAGTTCCTTACCTGTGTTTATTTCTCCTTGAACCCCTTCGCATTCACGCACAGCAGCCACACTGGATATCAGTGTTATAGCACTATGCCCAGCACACACCAGATGCTCAGTAGGTGTGTGCTGAAAGGACCGTTGGATTTTGTGAAACTTACAGATGAATACTCAGGAGATATCTGCATCCGCTCCTGGCTAGAATTTTAGGAGGAAACTTAGCCAACTATTAAAATGAACTTTCATTCTCTAATTCTTTTAATTTTTATTTACTTATTACTTATTTATTTGGTTTTTCAAGACAACATTCCTCTGTGTAGCCCTGGCTGTCCTGAAAACTCTGTAGGCCAGGCTGGCCTCAAACTCAGGGAGACCTGCCTGCTTCTGCCTCCCAAGTGCTGGGATTAAAGGATTATGCCACAACCACCCTACAAAGAACTTTTCAGTAGTTTAAAGACTGCATAATAAGCTGGGCAATGGTGGCCCACACCTTTAATCCCATCCAGCAATCGGGAGGCAGAGGCAGATGATCTCTGTGAGTTCGAAGTCAGCCTGGTCTACAGAGCAAGTTCCAGGACAGGCTCCAAAGCTACACAGAGAAACCCTGTCTCAAAAAACAAAACCACAGCCGGGCGGTGGTGGCGCACACCTTTAATCCCAGCACTCAGGAGGCAGAGCCAGGCGGATCTCTGTGAGTTCGAGGCCAGCCTGGTCTCCAAAGCGAGTTCCAGGAAAGGCGCAAAGCTACACAGAGAAACCCTGTCTCAAAAACCATAAAAAAAAACCAAAAAAAAAAAAAGACTGCATAGTAATGCTAACACAATAAGATCTCAGTGCTTCCTAGTAATTAAAACTTCTATGACATCATAAAAATTCATTTTGTTCAGGAACGTTTCAAAACCATTCTAGAACCATTTAAAGCTGCACAACCCACTAGAAGCAGGGCTAATTGTTTTTTTAACTAAAATGTGCTTTAAGCACAGCAAGTGCTTATAAAATAAATACATGCTGAGCGTGTGATGGCGGGGCTAGGACCAACAGCACGGAGCATTCGTGGTCTCTTTACGCCCTGCAGCAGCTGCATGAGATGCTTCTGTGACATCCCTCCATTTGCTCGTGGGGTGACTGAAAGCCAGTATTTTACTAAAGGGACTCAGTCAGGGTCAGGATATCTGGATTCCAGGGAGGATTCTTCCGCAAATTCAGACAGCCCAGAGCAAATCTTCCTCCTTCTGGGGCCTTAGTCTCCTTGACTGTGAGTGGGGGATGGGACCAGGTGATTCTGCCATCTCTCTGGGTGGAGGCATTTCCATCCTTCTTGACCCTTGGCTTCCATGTGTCACTGGCCCGTGTGGTCACCCCCGCTTTTCCTTTATCTCAGGACAACCTTAACCTGCTGCTGACTGAGGAGGAGATGTACAGCCTCACAGAGACCTTCCAACGGTGTAAAGTCATCCCTGGTAAGGCCGGCAGGTGCTGCCGAGAAGGAGGGGCCAGAAACACTCCCTTTCCTCCTTTCTGGGATGAACAGAGGGTGAGAAGAGGATTGGGGGGTTTGGGGAGTAGGGGTGAATGAGTCCTTGTTCCCGAGTTGTGGCCGTCAGAGGCACCCACTTCCACCACAGCCCCCCTGAGCTCTCCTGGCTATGGGAGGCATAACTGGACAAGAACTGGGACCGTGGGGGCACCGAGGGTGCCTTAGAGGAGAGTGAAGGCGTCCAAGGCTGAGGAAGGGTGGAGGAAGGGTGGGCATAGCCAGCAAGGGTGCCTCCACAGATTGCTCCCTGACGCTGGAGGACTTCGTGCGCTACCGCCACCAGGCAGCGAAGCGAGGGGAGAGCAGCAGGGCCCTGAGTGATGAGCAGGAGGAGCAAGCAGCCCGCCAGTTTGAGGCCTTGGACCCCGAACATCGAGGCCACGTAGAGTGGTCCGACTTCTTGTCCCACGAATCTCTCCTGCTGCTGCAGCAGCTGCGTCCCCAGGTGAGGAGTAGCGGTAATGAATGTCCACGGCTGACAGAGGTCTCGGATGCATGCTGGGCACGTTAGGGGGGAGCATTGGCAACTGTCCAAACGAGAGCGTGGATCAGGAAAGGGTTCCGGGTCCATCCAGTGAGAGATGGCCAGTGACCAGGGCTGAGGAGACTGCTGGAGAAGATCGGCTTTCACTGGACGCCCCGAAAAATGTCAGGCTGTCAAAAAGACTCTGGGAGCGTGAAGAGGGGCAGCAAAGGTTAGGCCATGGAAGCGTGGCTCTCTGTAGTCTGCAAGGTGTAGTCTGCAAGATGTTGTCACCTTCGAGGCCCTAACAGGATCTCTTCTTCCCCAGAACTCTCTACTGAGGCTTCTTACCGTCAAGGAGAGGGAACGAGCCCGAGCCACCTTCCTGGCACGGGGCAGTGGGAGCGCCATCAGTGAGGCAGAGTGCCACCACGCCCGGCACTCTTGGTTCTGTAAACGCCTTGCAGAGGCTGCTTCCTGCAGCGTCAGGTCCGCTCCTCCCCAGTCCTGCCCTCTGAGCCCCTCTTCCTTTTTCCACCCGGAGGACTTGCTGTGGCATGCCCTTCTTTCTCCTCCTATGGGCAGGAGATCCCCCTGTGAACTAGGTAGGGGACAGCGGTCCTGCTGGCAGCCTGTGAGGCAGCCTCTGTCCTGAACCCTGTGCTGCCCCCGTGCCGAAAAGCCTGGACAGGCGTGTCTGGGTCCATGTCTAGGGTTCACCGGAGTTTGGGAGGGAAGGGTCAGAGCCTTCTGTTGTCCCGCTCCTAACCGTATGTTCCTGCGTCTGGCAGCATCAGCCACGTGGGTCCCATAGCAGACAGCAGCCCGGCTGGCAGCAGTAGCAAGAGTGAACATAAGGCCCCGCTGCCTGGAGAGCAGGAGTCCAGGTGAGCTGACCCTCCTCTGCTGTAGAAAGCCCCCACTGCCACAACACCCTTTATAAATAAAAGAAGGCATTGCCACCTCCACCCCGGAAGAGCAAGAGCCCATCCTGAAAACCAGGCCCCAGAGGACACATTTGACCCCAGGTCTCTTAAGGCCAGACGGCTGATCTGTTAGCTTTGTCCCATAGCCCACCCTAACCTTGTTAGTCATGAGGCAAGCTTCCCTGAGTTTCATCCAGCCCAGGGCAGCCTGCCACCGGGATTGGGTGTTAGGGGGTCTTCAGGCTCTGTACCCAGCCTGGCAAACCTGTTCTCTCCCTCTGCAGATCTGTGGACTGGCCCACCTTCCTAAGAGAGAACGTCATCTACATCTTGGCTGCTCGTCCCAACAGTGGAGCGATTCACCTGAAACCCCCAGGATAGTATGGGGCGGAGCAGCTCAGTTCTGGGACGGTGGCATCCTCTCCTCCTCTCCTTTCTCTTTCCTTCCACTCACCTCTGGCGCTGAGACTCACAGGAATGGGGCACTGCCAACATCTTAATTTGTCATTAAGTTTTACGGCACCGAAGCCACCGTTCCCCTCACTACAGAGGCAGTGTGTGTATTGCCACACCGAGAAGCCCTGAGAGCTGTGGCGTCCGTCACCTGCTCCTGGACCGCCTCCTGCCCTCACATCATAAAACTACCTGCCACCTCATGCATACATGTGTGCACATGCACATACAGCCACATACATGCCTAGATATCCATGCCTTCAGACTCCGGGTTCTTTTTTCGATGAAAAAGGACCAAAATCCCTTTGTGAAACCCCTGGTGTAGATGAGATGGTCTCTTCTCACTCTTTCTATTGGCCAGTTCTGATTTCCAGTAGAAAGAAAGGGGCAGATCAGCCTCGCTTCCCCTCCAGGAGATGCCGAGAGGCCCCCTGCCCACATTGAAACCCCCTTCCGTGATGAGCCGCTGCTGCTCGTAAGTGTCTGTGTGTCCCTCAGGTGTGTCGTGGCGGGAGAACCGTTAAAAATCATCGCTGAAGTTTGTGTTTAAATTCTAATCCTCGTGACAGAAAAGGAAACTAGCTTGTGGATTTCTGACTGGAAAAAAGTGGAGACAGCCTCTCCCAGAGACCCAGAATTCTCTTTCAACCAGGTCCTCCAACTTCACAAGCCCTTAGCAGACCAGGAAAGTCAAGGTGAGACTCGTGGCCCTGTTTGTTGAATGGTATCGCGTGGTCCGAAGCTCTAGGGGCCCGAGTGGAATGGATACACTGGCAGGAATGACGACCCTCTGTGGGAGATGCTTCAGCCTGGCCGCTACGGAGGTCGGTGAGGACACCATCTCATGGGAGAGAAGAGAAAAGTAGGCTTTTCCTGCTTCCCAGCCCAGCTCCACCACAGCCATAGAAATGTGGCTTTATACAGAGGGCAAGCCAGCCTCGTACGTAGCCTGAAGGAGATCCTCAGAACCCCTCAGCAGTCTTGCTGAGACAGAAAAGGAGACACAACCAAGACTCAGAAGATCTGTATCTCAAGTCCTAGTCGGCGTCCTAAGGGGGAAAGCTTGTCCTTCTCCCCAAAACGGAGATGTAGCCTCAGTGGCTGCTTCTCCCTGCTGCTTGTTCATGTCTTCCCCTCCGTGCTAGGAGCTGGAGCTAGCCTGAGAGGCTTTGTGGACAAGCAGAGTGCCATGAATGCACCAAATGTGGCCCGCAAGCTTTGCCAAACCCCATTACCTAACAGTTCTGAAGCTCTCAAATCAATGGTATGGGTCAGCCCTTAGACCTAGGGGTCCAGGTTCTGGATTTCTATTTTCAACCGGATGACTTAGGTATGGCCAGTTCGGACAACGAGGGCTTCTTCAAGAGACAGTTGAGTCAAGTCATGCAGAAGCTTGCATTATCTCCACTGCTCAAAGCACTTGTACTGAAGTGAATGATCACAGAAGAAGAAGAGGCATATCACTCAGTGTTGAGATGCTCAGATGAAGTGAGGTCTGCAGCCAGGGCCTTTTGCCTAGAGCCCTGGGCGGCCTCTTTTTGTAGGAAGTGCCTGACCTAGAAGCAGGGTGGTGAACTGCTGGAGACAGGTTATCTAGGACTGAGATGACACAGATAGGAGATACATGTGGGTTCATTTTGAAACCCACAGCTTTTAAAAACTACTACTTAAGACTGGGCATAGTAGTACACACCCTTAATCCCAGCACTCAGGGGACAGAGGCAGGTGGATCTCTGAGTTGAAGGCCAGTTTGTTCTAAATAGTAAGCTACACAAGTGAGAGTTGGTCTCAGAAACAACAATGAAAACTACTCAGCCACGTTCCCAAGACTGATCAGTAAGAGGACCCATTATTTGATCTAATCAAAAAGAAAAAAGAAAAAAGCACAAAGCTCCTAGGCTCAAGGACTGTGTCTGTAGCAGCCAGGCCTGGGGTTTTCCATTGAGAAGATTAAAGCATATTAAATACAAGGTCTCTTGCTCACTCTCCTGGTGAGTCACCATCTACCCCTGTGACTGTGAACTGCTGAACCTCACAAGCCGTTTTGAACAGAGATAATCTCTGGGCTTTGGGAATTGAACAGCGCTTTCCTGCCACTCTCCAGCCGTGGGTACTGGGGGTCCCTCTTGCTCCATGGTCCTTTGCAGATCAAGATGATCCTTGCCACTTTGAAGCTGCAAGGGGGTTTGTTGTTCGTTTGTTTTGAGTTTCTTGCTCCTGCAGTTGAATGGCAGAAGACCACAGGCCACATCAGACTGGTTGGGTCCCAAGACTTGCAGAGTCAGCCCCACAGCTCATCCACAGTAGAACCAGGCCTGTTTGAGATCACCTCCCTATCCAGGACAGTGGTTTTCCATGGTGGGGGCCTGATGCAGAGGGCCCAAGGGACTCTCCCCCCAGCAAAGAATGGAGGTCCCAATCCACAACATTGATGAGAAGCAGAAAAACAGACAGGACAGCCGGCCTCTTCCCCATAAGCATGTAGTGTTGTACCAAAGGGAGGGTCCATGGCTCCCTAGACAGTTGTTACAGAAGCCCTCCCCAACCCCACTGTCCATAGTCCCTCTCTGAATGGCCTCCCTGGAGCCCCTGCAGTATGTACAGAGGTACACTCTCATCACCTAGCAAGACTCAACCCTTTTCAAGCCTTTCTATCACTGTGACTGTCTGAAATTCTGCCAAGTGCAAAAATTAATGTCTGGCTCTGACGAGGGTATGAGAAAATGTTTCTGTCTTTTCTGTCTTGGCTGCCAACAATTAAGATCAATGCTTTTCCCAAACACCACCCATCCTGAGCTCCAACCAAGGGAGGCTCGGGTTACACATATGCTTCTCTGAAGACCGCCTGCCCCAAGCTTGGTTTTCCTCCAGCCGTTCTCCTCCTTATATTCAGAACTAAGTGAAGGGGATCGCAACGACACAGCAGACTGCAGGGTCAGGGTTCCTGAGAGTGGCTTAGCTCTGCACAACCTCTCCAGGTCCGTTCCTTGGCCTCCTCACCTGAGGCCACCCTTCCCCCGAAAAACATTTGGACAGTGGCCCCTATGGTATCCCAGGGATGGAGCCGTTTCCTCATTCCCAGGTACTGACCCAGCTCAAGTGCTCTTCCTTTGAGGACAGCTGCAGCAGAAGCCATGAATACATTGCCTCTTTCTACCCCCAGCCTAAGCAGTGGGCTGGCAGGGTAGACACTTGCCTTTCTGGCCGTAGTGCTCCCTACGGGAGGTCACCTGGACCTTGTTTAAGTGGCCAAGTCTTGGAGTTCCCCCCATTTCTATCACCAAAACAGAAAGCACAGAATTCAACTGCCTGGAAAGAGGGCACTTGACAGGGAAGTGAATACCAAGGCTGTCCCATGCCTTAGCCCAAAGCACAACACTTACTGCATGCATCACAGCTCCCAGCCGTGCGGAAAGCACTCAGACTACGAGAAAGGCTCCGCAGAAACTGTCTAGCAGGGGCCATCCAGCCATGACTACCCAAGAGCCAAAAGGAAGCAACCTTGAGGCACAAAACTTGAACTGGCAACAGGCTCTGGTATTGGTATTCCATGTCTCCTTCTGACCAGCAGAATAAAGACAGATGCAGTCATGCACTGCACATGTGCATAGAGAGAACACGAGTATATAGGGTTATTCGTGACCCAGAGAATGGAGGATAGGGTCAGCTCTTGTCTGGACCAGTACTTAAGAAGCCCGATTCCATTCTGGAAATCCATTCTGAGAACGGGGTCATTAGGCAACTTCTCAGTGCAAGCATCAAAGAGTGCTCTTACACACTTACACAAACCAAGACAGGTACCACATTACTAGGCAGTATAACTTATGGGACCACCATTGTACATGCCATCTGTTGTTGGTTGAAATGTCACTGTGGCACATGACCATTCTGTACTTGGCACTAAAAGGCCAAACAGCCTTGATGCCAGAATTGCAGAACACCCTAGCAGCACCTGTAACCATGGCCCCCTTTAACCTGCCATTTCCAGTGGAGTCAAATCACCACCTTCTCCTTGCCACTTGGGTTTACTTTGTTCACTGTGTCTCCCTTGGTCCTGGCTACAGCCCAGACAATGGAGATCTTAAGTGGGCGTGATCAGTGTGTGGCCTGTTCCCACAGCTCAGCCCTGGAATATGGTGGAGCCGAGCGTTTCTCCTGGTGTTGCTTGCTTTTTGCCACTATTTTTGGCAATCTTGAAAAGGAAACGATAGGTTACAGGATTCCCACTAGACCAACACTAAAGAAAAGCTGTTCCCCTTTGGACTGCATGCCCCAATAGCCCAGAGCATGGAGAAGAGGGTCAGGTCTTACCTAGACCAATGATTAAGAAGCCTAATTCCAGTCCTCTCCACATCTATAATCAGCAAAGGCCTTCAAATTTAGCCTCCGACCCTTAAGGGATATCGTGGTCTGTTTCCAGCCAAACAGGCTGGGAGGGAGGCTCTGAGAGCCCTTAAGTAACTGAGGATCCAAGGTCCTCTGGTTCCTCATGTACTTCTCTGCTGAAGGTAACTTGACAGTAACCAGAAGGGACCAACCCCAAGCCCTGTCTTCCTATCTACAGCTGCATGCTCCTTGCTGTGACTCGGCCTTCACAGTACTCCAGGCAGGAGCTCCCACAGGCTGGGCACTGCAGAAACCATAATAAAGAGATTGTGATGATGCTTCTGCTGCTTGCTTCCTGTTGTTTGGGATCCTCCCATTTCTCTGTCATTTCCCATCACTGACCAATTCCTGGCCTGAGTATAAAACGGGACACTGTAGCCTTCCTTCAGTGGCCGTATTCTTGGCAGCGTGCGTGCATGCGTGCGTGCCCGTTGCCTGTCAAAGCACTTCAAGGGACCTGTTGCAGTGTAATCTAGCGCCTCCCATCTCCACTCCTCAGAACAGACCCGAACAGGGAACAGAGCTTGCAGCCACATGGCAGAAGTTTCACCACCTGCACAACTCGTCCACTCATCCTGCTTCCATACCTCTCCCCTCCAGGGTGTTCCCATAGGGCAGGGAGTGTCTGCCCTACTCTGGAAGTTTGATGATGACATCACAGGAGTTCCTTCTAATCTCCAGACTCAGGGAAGCTGAGCATCAGGGTAGCAAAAGGCATAAAAACTAGATCTTTGGCTGGTAAGATTGCTTCAGAGAACGAAGGCACTGCTGACCAGCCTGAGGACCTGAGTTCAATCCCCATAGCCAATGGAGAGAACCAACTCTCGGAAGCTGCCCTCTGACCTCCACATGTCAAGGCATGCATGCACACACAAAATAAGCAATTTTTAAATATTAAAATTCTGTATCTCTGTGAACAACCAAGTTTCCCTTCCCTCCATTCAGCAGTCCGTGCTGGAGGTTTAATCCCTGCTAGAACCATGACTCACCAGCTACCACTTGCTCCCAGGGCTTGCTGGAACCCCACCTCCACACAAACTTCCACCTCTCCTGCTCTGTACGTTCCCTCTGTCTCCCGAGTAGGTCATTTCCCAAAGAGAAACAGTGCTACTCAATTCTCTAGACATCAAGTTAAACCCAGTGTTCTCCCCAACTCCACTTTTTCCAGGGGTTCCTTGGGTCTGATGTGGCAAACCTATTTCCCCGTCTGTAAAAAAGCTAAAGAACAGTCCCTGTCACGTCTGTCTTCTGAGCTGATAGAAAAAGCAGAATGAGGTTGGTGGGGAGAGGCGCTGAGCGAGCAGCTGGATGCTGGTTCCCTCTGAGGCCCGTGTTTCCTCTGAGGCCCCGTGTTCCCTCTGAGGCCCATGTCTTCTTCCACCCCCTGCAGTCCCAGGCACAGCTGTAGGTACCGCCAGTGGTCTCTGTCCACAGTGCTGAAGTCGCAGCCAGCTGGAGACTGTCCGTCCTTTGTCCTCACTTTAAGTAAACATCAAATGCAGAGATTTCCAGGTTCAAAGATTGCCCTCAAATTCAGAAAGTATCATCAAAATGTTTTTATTTAACTTATTTCAAGTTTTTTTTTTCAAAATCATAATAGACCAGAGATGAATCAGCAGCTCAGGGGCAAAAAAGAGCTTATGGTTTTAACTTGGTATGAGTGATCTACATGAGTTAACTACCAAAAAAGGAAAAAAAAATCAATGCAACCTAAGGCTACATGGAAAGAAGTCTAGTCAGGGAAGGGAGGCAAGCCATCTTGTTCAAGCCTTGTTCATGTCCAGCACTCCTGAAACAAGCACAGACTGAAAGCCTTGAATGGCTGGAATCAAACAAGGCAGACGAAAAGCCCGGGAAGGCCTGAATCCTGGAGAGGGTGAACATAAGCAGTGCAGATGGTTGATACTTGGCAATGGGACCTATAAAGCTGGAGGTGACTCAAGGACAGAGCCTAGATGACAGGTGAACGTTGAGAAAATACATTTCTTCTCAACAGAACCAAAGGATGACTGAACACCAGGGAGGGCAGTGAAGCCACCAACACATGCGACAAAGTGCTGAGTCTCAGAGTGTGATACCTGATAAGGTACTGAATCCTCTTGACACCTGAGGGGCCAGTCCACATTAAGCACCTTCTTGTACCTTCCCAGCCCTTATCCTAGATGATCTGAAGATAGATATGGAAGCTCAAGCAGTCACATGACTTTAAAGTTTAGGTATCAAAAAACAAAAATTTCCTTAGTTCACTGGTAGGCTCTTGGAAGCTTGCCTTGAGAATCTCATGCTACTCGCCCTCTGCTGGCCATCCCTAGAACTGCCATCTCATCCTAAAGTGAGAAATTACTCTTTCAAATCCCAAGGGTACTGATTACTTTCCGCTTAGAAGCTCAAGAAGATGCCCGCAAGTACCAGGGAGTTAAATCACTGGTCAGTGCTTTGTCAGTGAAAAAGACAAGTGAAAATCACAGTGAGTTCACGTGTCTAGCGTTAAAATTAAGACTTAACTGTGTCTAGGAAGTAAGCTGAGGCTGAGGCTGGCTGGATTCAAGGGATTCCTTTGGCCAAGATTAAAACTAGAGTCAGTGTCTCAAGCAAATGCCAAAGTTTGGACTCAGTGTGGGACCAATCCTTTGTTCATATGTCAGCACGAAGCATATGTCAAAAGAGATGCTAAGAATCTGACCATAGGAAGGAGTCAGTCTGCATTCAAAGCAGCATTAGTATGCCTAGGTGAAACATCACGTGACAAGTAGCCAGTCACTGGAGAACTCGGCCATGAATGCCACCCAGGGGACCAGCAGGGGAGATGAGAAACTAAATAAGGCAGCCTCTAGTTTCTCAGGAGTTGCTGGCTTTAAAAGTGGTGATGCAGCTCCCCCTTTCTCCTCAGTCCCAGCTTCATATTAAAGCCTCCTCACACATCACACTGCACATACAAATCATAGGTTCAATTTGGGGAAAGGGGCAGCCCAAGAGCCCATGCTGTCACTGCATAGAGCTGGCAGCTGTGGGGGTAGTCTTCCTTGCCTCCAGGATTCTGTTTCTACTAGCAACAGGGCCTGGTATCCTCCCACCTCCAGATCTTAGCAACCATGGGAGCCCCTGGCAACTGCTGCCATGGTGACAAGACAGAGAACTAGGAACAGGCCAAGGGGGGAAGCACTTCCTCAGGAGGATTTGGGAAGTGCAAGATAGGGGCTCCCCTCCCATACACAGTCTGGGAGGGAACATGAGCTCCTGCTTAAACACCCCCTCACTGGCACCCACCCCCATCCCCTTGCCCACAGGTTCCGGTTCCCTCAGGGTGAGAAAATGAGGGACACCTAGGGTTATGACGTCTCCATGAGGAGGGAGGACAGGCGGGGGTGTTTGGAACCAACACGATCACAGATGCGTACATACACTGGCAGAAATGGTGTCAATAGCCACATGCTCCCCTCACTCTTTATCATGTAGTCACATGCCTACACAGCCATTTATTTAACCATACATGTGTGCTGATAGAAAACCACATACCTATACCAAGTACAGAATCAGGCACACTACACACAAAAATAATTGTGCAGATACACGCTTACAAACGGAATCATGACTACCACGGCAAATAACTCCTAATCAGACACACGAATGTGGGGTTGCACTCACACCCATATAGCCCTGAGCACACAGTAAGTGTTGATTGGATTGAACATTAATCGCATGCCAAGCTCAGAACTAAGACCATTACATGTGTCACCTTAATTGACCCTCAAAAGAGCCCTGTGAGCTTCCACGGTTGCTTGGTCCATTTGCCGAGAACAAATGAGGCACAGAGGTGGCAAGTGGCCTCACAAGGTCACCCCGCTGACTGACTCCAGCACTCACCTTCTTACGGTCTATGCTGCACTGCATCCTCAGGTTCAGATGCCCAGGACAGTAGGCCAGAAGGCAACAGTAGTGATCCCGGCAAACAATGGAGTTTGGGCCCCACTTCTAAGGACACAAAGCTAGAGTCCCTGGAGGCCACGCCCACAGCTTAGCAGAGCCAGGTAAAGGCTTGTGACTAAACTTGACCTCTGTGCTGGCGTGGACAAGGCTGGGAATGCAAGAGGCAGACTTAGAAAGTAACATAGGCGCTGACAGTCGGGGCCCCTCAAGACAGGAGGAAGAATAGTGAGAGCCCCCAAATCGTAGAAGCCAGTACTACTTCCGGTCCCCCTCTTCCCACGCCACCCAACTCCGTGCCACACTGCCCCACTCCCTCATCACTGTCTCATCCGTTCCTCCTCTGGTCTCTGTCCCGTTTCAGTACTCCTACAGTCTCCGCCCCGGCCCATCTCACCCCCTCATTTCCTCTTTGCCTCCCACCCTGTCTTCTGGCCCCTTTCCAGTTCCCACCCCACCTCCTTCAGCCAGATACCTGTTAGCTCCCCGTACTGATCACGCCATCTCCCCCTTCTGCTCTCCTCTACCCCACTTCCTCTTTCCACCCTAACTTCTTTTCTCACGCTAAACTCAAATTCCTTTACACTCCGAGAGTCGCATGTGGAACATTGGGAAGAGGCAGGTAGTTAAGAATATGTAGACCTTGCCTCCAAATCCCCAGACCCCTCTCCTGCTCTTATCTGGGCCTAGGTACTCCAAGCCTCAGTTTACAGTTCTACCCAGCTTGCATGGCCCCGTAGGTGTCTAAATCTGCCTCTTGAAACTGACAAAGAATGAGCATTTTCTCAGGCCTTTTCTTTGTCACCAAATCTCCCAAGAACCCCCTCCCCCTCTTCACCCCCAGATTACCCCCTCCCACCCCCGCTCCCTCCAGCACAGATGGGCCTGGGAGACAGTAACGTGGGCGCCAAGCTCAGTGTCTGCTGGAGCGGCGGCTTCCGCTGGCGACCGCCTCCGCAGCCCCGCCTGCTCCGAGTATCGGGGACACTGGGGCTGAGATTTAATGATTTACTGGGGGTTTGGGGGGCAGAGGTGACAGTGTATGAGGTTGTTAAGAAAGAGGACCATGGGAAGCTGAGGTAAAGGGTTAAAGGGGGAGCTATGTGCTATGATATTGCAGACCACAGAAATAGGGAGATGAATTAAGAATAAGACAAAAGGAGAAAAAAGTAAGAAAGATACAGAGCAAGACAGAATATTGGGGTGAGGGAAGGCCAGATATCGCAGGGGATATGAAAAAGGACTTACAAAGATGAAAGGTTGGTTATAAGGGCTCTGAACTGGGCACTGCGGACTCCCAGGGGCTGAGAAGCGGCTGCTCCTTAGCGAGCCAGCCGCCAGCGTGAAAGGGAAGATGGAAAGGAGCTGGACAGAGAATCATGAAGATGTCTCCGCTGGAGTTACCAGTTACTAGTGCAGAGGGGAGGTCGCAAGGGCACTTAGACTCTCGAGTCTATGCTGGTCTGCTTTGTGTTACAGTTAAGCCATGTCAGGTCAGCCCCAGATCTAGACAAGGTAAAGCTAAACCAGGCCGAGTCGGGTTGGCTCACAATTTGTTAAAAGACAGGTGAGAAGAGATGACATTTTGGCACTGGTCCAGAGGCTACACCGCCCCCAGTGCACTATTCTTTCTCTCTTTCGACTCTCCTAAATGAAGAAAGGAAAGAACGCCTGGTGTCACCGCCAACTGGTGAGCGCAGTTTTCCTGCTAGGTTGTCTTTGAGGCTGCACTCATTCCAGAGGGTTCTCCCTGGACTCTCAAGCGGTGGCCAGCACGTCTCACCTCACACTGGAGATTGGACTAATATAGTTGCCCCACTGGCTTGGGTCGAAGTCACAGGGACAAGCCAATAAAATCAAAGGGCGCCTGAAGTTGCCGCCCTCTGTCCTTTTCACCAATGACACGACGAGATGGAGAAGAGGTGTGGTTGATTGATCCCGGAGGGCACCAATCACACCCACACCAATCACTGCCCGGAATGTGTGCGCGTGTGGCCGGGTGACAGGGGCGGAGAAGGGGTGGCTATCACCCGGACGCTCGTTGAAAGGTGTCCAATCACAGCGGAGTCTGGGCTGAGTGACGGGCAGACGGTACAATGGGAAGCGCGGAGGCGGAGCCGTGGGGGCGGGCTCCCGGTCCCGCTGTCTGCGGCCGGCGGGCAGGCGACTCCTGTCCCGAGTGGAGGCGGCGGAGCCGAGCCGGAGCCGGGGGAGGGGGCAGCGGCTGACAGAAGGACCGCGGCGACGCCCGCAGCTCCTCACCGGTGAGGGCGCCGAGCGAGGACTCGGGGGGGTCCCGGGGGTGGGGCGTCGCGAAGACAGGTCCGGGGCTGGGGGGGGTTGGGACACCGAGGGTCCATAGCCTGCTCTGCTCTAGGGGTGCGGGTCCTGGGAGCCCGGGGTCTGCCAGGTGCCGGGTGTCTGCGACGAGGGTCGGGTTGGGTCGGGTCGGGTTGGGTTGCGCCGGGCGGAGGCGTTTCCGAGCAGGCCCGCCAGCCAGCTGAGGTGACATCACCGACCCCCTCCTCCCCCGCGCGAACCCCCTTCCTTCCTCTCCCCGCCGCGCCTTTTGTCCGGGCCAGGCTCGGCTCTGCCCCGCCCCTCCCCGCCCATCTGCGGGGGAGGAGACTCCCCGTCAGTGACTTCATTGAGTAGGTTCTCGGGGATTGGGCTTGGGTCCTCCCCAGAGAGGCGACAGGAGCTCACTGCCTCTCAGGCCCTCGCCGTCACACCTGTCACAGGTACACACGCTGCCACTCAGCAAGCACACGCTGTCCCTTCCGGCCTCACTGTCACCCAGCCATACCGCCACTCACATTCAGCCAGACACTGCTGTCCCTGCGGGGCAGGTGGCCGGCCGCTGGACCCTCTCCCTCCGCTCCGCACCTGGGGATCAGGTCCGGCTCCTGCGGCACGACACAGGCCTTGCTGGGCAAGGGCCTCTGAGAATCTGAGGAGGTGGCTTCCAGAGCTACAGCGTCCCAGGCAGGCTCCGGTGGAGCGATCAGAGGTGAGGGGCTTGGCTGGGCATGTTTAAGCGCACAGTGCTCTCCTGCCCACCCCCAGCAGCACCCCCACTACAGCCTGGAGGAGCTTTCCGGAGCTTCCCACACTTCTGGGGAGAAGACTTCTTAGCCAGCTTGATGTTTAAAATTCAGCTGGAGCCCTTAAAACTTCGAGCGTGGACGCTGAATGGGTTTGTAAAGTTTCGGTAAGTCCCTCCTGAGAAGGGCACTCACACCCGTGCGGAGTCAGATTCTCCACATCAGCCATCCCCTGCACTGTCTCCTCCCCCCCCTCCCTCCCTGGCATCCTCATCCCATCCTGTGACATCCTTTGACCTCACCTGCACGCTTGAATGAACTGTACCCGTATCATCCATCTCCCTCAAACTCTGTTTCCACACTCATCTCCAATATCTCAGTTCTTCAGTTCTCCCTCTCAGTCGCCTGTCTTCCACTTCACCCGTTTCCTCCCGTGGTCTCTCATCTCCCATCAGGGCCCTCTCTCCTCCCAGCCCCTTTTGCCGTTTATCCTCATTGTTGTCATTCCTAGCTCGCCCTTAACATAGTCCTCATTCTTCATCAAAGGCCGAGCCATGCCATGGGGCTCCTTTGTCATCCTGCCACGTGGCTGGTGGGGAGGGAGACGGGAGGAGGGTGGAAAGGTGGGAAAGGAGGCCGGTCCTCAGAGTCTGCCCTGTGTCTGTGGAGGCCAGAGAATTTGGGGTGGAGAACAGCTGGCAGGCGGGTACCAGAGAGGAAGCTGGCAGTGGTGGAGAGGTAATGGGGGGACCACAAAAAGGCGGGTGGGCTGGTAAGCTATGCCACTTGCCCTCTGCCTAGAAGCTGCTGGAGTTCTCTGGCACCCTGTTGCTGTCCTAGGTTTCTTTCACTCCTGGGGTAAAGAAAAGTGTGGGCTGAGACAAAGATGGCAGACCACCCCATCTCCCTCTCAGACTGCTCTTAATGCCGCCGCTTCCGAAAATGGCAGCTCTCCCCCAGATGCTCTTTCTTCTCTGCCTCCCCCAACTCCAGTCTCCCCCACAGGCGTGACATGCTGGTGTGGGGAAATGGGGGAGTACCCGCCTTTATGGTGCCTTCTCTTTGTCAGAGTGAGGTGACTCCCAGAACCATGAGTCAACCCAGCCACCTGCAGCAAGCCCGGTAGGGGCAGGAGCTAAGGTCATTCTCCCTGCCTCCCTGGGGCCCCAGAGGCTTCCCCCCTAACTGTCACAGCCCTGCCAGGACACCTCGTACATCTCACTACTGTGAAGTAGTCAGGGGCAGAAAAGCAAGCCTCAGCTGTGGCTGCCAGAACATTGCTAGAAAGACTCTGGTTCTCCCTGTTTTGACAAGGGTTGGCTACACCTCCAAAAGGCTAAAGAATGGCGTCTGGCCACTCCCTCGAGTCCCCTCCCTTCATATCATCCACATATCCATTGATGAGAGCAGGTTAGAGTGGAAGGATCGGAGCGCCATGGTGATGTCCTTGAACCCCACTTAGAAGGGGTTATCAGAGGAGTATAAGCCTAGTGCGGAGTCAGATCCTAAACTATAGGGGCAGATAGAGGAGGGGCTTGCAGCACAGGTATTTAGGACACAGTGGTTAGTGTCTTTTTGTCTCCTGACACCTAGCCTTTGAGAAAGCCTCATCTCTGGTGCTTTTGTTCACTACCATTGGTGCTTGGGCAGCATAGACATGTATTCACACCTCAGTGTGTAGATCCTTGGAAACGAGTAGAGGCAACTGTCACCCTGGTTGGGGGACAGACAGTGTCCCCCCTTGCTAATGAAGGTGTTAGGAGCAGCAGTTTCCAAAGGCTGTGAGTCACTCTGTGATCTGAGTCACACGTGAAGCTTAGCATAGCCTGGGGGGGGGGGGGGCAAGGGCAGAGGGATCTAGACTCCAAACTCCCATACCCTGATTCAGCTGGCTGAAGACTAGAGCCTGTTCCCGGTCCTGGGCTACTGCCCCAGCTGTCCTCAGTCCGGGCACCATGCCTGAGGTGTGGCGTAGGAGAGACTACGAAGCTCAGGTGACCTCACTCAGTACACTGACCTTCGCCAGCTTCTGTGTGTGAGTCTGTCAGTCCACAGTGCCATCTCACTCAGAAGGGCCTCTCAGGGGTCCTCAGGCTGGCCCAAGGGCCTGGGCCTCAGCCTAGACCTGAGAAGTGGGCCACAATCTTCAGCCAGAAGCTGAGAAAGGAATCACGGAATCCTAGCATGTCAGAACTGGAAGACAGCATCTAGCCAAAACTTTCATTTTACAGATGGGGAGACAGAGGCCCAGAGAATAGGCATGACCTATTGAAGGTCATACAGGGAATCATTTAAGGATTGCAGGATCAGCAGGAGTGGGGCTGGGCTGTAGAGAACAGGGCACCAAAGATTGGACCTGGGTTCTTTCAGAAACAAGGAGCCTAGCACCGGTCCAGTGGCTGTGATGGGAAAAGATTATTACAAGATTCTCGGGATCCCGTCAGGGGCCAATGAGGATGAGATCAAAAAAGCCTATCGGAAGATGGCCTTGAAATACCACCCAGACAAGAACAAGGAACCCAACGCTGAGGAGAAGTTTAAGGAGATTGCTGAGGCCTATGACGTGCTGAGTGACCCTAAGAAACGGAGCCTGTATGACCAGTATGGGGAGGAAGGTAAGAAGGTGTACAGCGGCCCAAACCTGGACCCCCGAGTTTCTCTGGAGCCCTGGGCAAGCCAGTTCTCATGGTGGGGTTGGAGGAGGCAAATTTCTCTAGAGCAGCCCAATCGTTCACTACCTGGTCACAGCTCACTGTCTTCCTCATCTCTCTTCCCCCTCCCTTGGCCCTTTCTGGCCCTAGAGAGGCTGGAGTCTGAGCCAGAGGCCTTCTCTTCCCCCCCCCTCCCCACCTTCCTTCCTTCCCAGCCTTATTAGTCCTGCCTGAAGTCCCTGAAGCTTCATTGGCTGTCTGAAAGGTTGGGGAGAGTGAGCCTGTGACTCTCTGAGCACGGCATTTACATTCATCAGCATAAAAGTCTGGCCCTTGAACAGCCAGGGAATTAACCACTAGAGTTCTCAGTGGAAATGGTTGTTGCCACCATCCCCCAATCCCTGGCCACTCCAGGCCAACAGAACAGAGATTTGCCTCCCAGAGGAAGTGGCAGGGATCCAGGAGTGGCAGGGGAGATGTTGTGGGCATCTTACCCTTCCCTGGGGCAGTTGGTGGACACGGACAGGGTGGGCAGCAGGAAAGGCCCAAATAAAGCCTCCGAGAGCGTGGCTCCGCCCAGCACATCCCACGGGCATGATGTAGCTGCTAATTCTGGGCCTGCCCCTCGGGGCCCGCCTGCCACCCGCCAGCCACAGGCACCTGTCAGGCTATATTAAGAGACATTGTCACAGCTGAGGACTCTCCTTCCTGGGAAGACCTGCCCTTCCTCCTAGCGACATCCACCGTTCTTCACACTGTCCTCCTCTTCACCTTCCCCAGAGTGTGCTCAGAATGAACCGGGCTAACGGCATGTAGTATGCCTGATTAAAAGCAGGGGCTGAAGAGCACATTCCTTCCGTCCCCTCTTCATTTTGTGTTCTGTTCATCTCTGCCGCTCCCCCCCCCCCCCGTGCCTCATCTTCCCAGCTCCCTCTTTTTAGTCTCTAGGCTGTGAGCTCATTCCATTTTTCCCTGATCATTCCTAGACTTGCCAGTTCTCAGAGAGCCCCGGCACCTGCTCCAATCCCCAGCATTCTCCCAGCTCAGGAGGGAGGATGGGAGCAGGGAAAGAAGGAAGGCCATGCAGGCACCATGCCTCCATGTGGCCTGTCTCAGAATTGCATCCAATCCTGCACTTAGCCTAACCCTTTAGGAAAGGAGCTGCAGAAGCTACCCAGAAACTTCCTCCCCCAGCTCATACACGACCAAGCCCAAGTGAAGGCAACACCCAGACCCGGACCCTAGAAGCGCCTGAGTTCTGGTGTAGATCATGGGCACTGTGGCCCAGGGAAGACCTCTGGGTTGGAGGAGGAAGAAACAGCCTTGGAAAGTCAGTTCTATTTCTGTCTGCCCTCCCTCTTCCTCAACAGCCGGCCAGAATAATTGTGCACAGAGTCCGTGCGCAGCTCTGGCTTAGGACAAGTTGTTCTCTGCCTGAAGTGAGGTGGGGTGGTAGAGCAGGGGTGCCCGTGGTGAGAATGCCCCTCTTGTCATCAGTTTAGCCTCCTGCTCTCTCAGGAGCTCTGCCTAGCTTTGGGAACTTGCTTCAACAGGAAGAAAGAACAGACCCAAGTCTTGGGGGAGGGTTACGAGGCAGCTGCCACAAGCCCCCAAATGCCTGCTACTTACTTGCCCTCTCTAAGGAAACCCAAACCTGTCCTTGTAGTCCCATGAAATAAGAGGGTAATTTAGGCCCAGATTCCCAAGACCAAATGAAATTTTAGACAAAAGGCCTCAGAGAGGGCTAAGAATACAGCCTAGTGCTAGGGCACTTGCCTAAAGTGCACAAAGCCCTGGGTTCCTCCCCAGAAATAAGTCTCAATGAGAGGGGCCCTTCCCCTCGCCTGGGCCCCATCCCTGAATCTATATAATTTGGATCAGTCTGTGTTAATCCCCTCTGCCATACTTCCCACTACTCTATCACACACCTACCCTGAAAGTACCATCCAGCAATCTGAGTCCCATAGACAAGACCCGACTCCAGAGAGAGCATCTGGGGTCGCCGCTTGCATGGTCCCAGCCCATTGATGTGTGGTGGTTGCTCCACATTAGATGTGGAATGCAGGGCTGGTGTGATGTAACCCTGGGGAAGCTGGTCCAGAGTAGCCTCGTCTGTACAATACGTGCATGGCAGTCCCTGAAGCTGTGCTCAGAGTATGGAAATAAAGTAATTGAATTGTTTCATAGAAAAATAGTTCCTCGTTTCCATGTCAGTGAGCTTCCTTGTTTTTGGAGACCTCTTGATTTCCTGTTGGAGCAGAATCAAAGCAAGGTTCCTCCTAGATTGTGTCCACACTTCATACTAGCCCCTCTGTGGTCAAACCCTGTCTGTTTGTCTCTAGCCCTGGGTATCTTGGGAAGTCAACAGAGATTTGGGAGTCAGGTATAGCCTGTCATGTGATACGAGGCCAGCTGCCCAAGCTTTTATGAGGCATGTTTGGACTGAGTAAGTGGGAATGATTACATAACAGAAGCCATCTCCTAAGTCCCCTAGTCCTCGCTTTTACACTTATTGGCTAACTAGCTCGAGGGAATCTCAAGGTGCAGATTGTTTGGGTTTGTTTTTGGGGACAAGGTCTCACTACACAGTCCAGACTAGCCTGAAACTCTGTCCTCCTGCCCAGTTTTTTGAGTACTGAGATTACAGGCGTGCACCGCCATACTCAGATATTTACTCCTAAGTATGGAGTTAATTGAGTGGATATTAGTCTGTCCAAAGCTTTTCTCACTCTGTTGGTCTAGCCCTCTCTGTGAGAGTTAAAGGTTGCTTCTTTATCTAGGCCCAGGAACTGGCAGCTTAGCGGTAGAGGAAAGAGACTGGGGTGGGGCCAGGATGGACCACACTGCCCCTAACTTCTCCTCCCTTTAGGCCTCAAGACCGGCGGTGGTACTTCAGGTGGCTCCAGTGGCTCCTTTCACTACACCTTTCATGGGGACCCTCATGCCACCTTTGCTTCCTTCTTTGGTGGCTCCAACCCCTTCGATATCTTCTTTGCCAGCAGCCGCTCCACTCGGCCCTTCAGTGGCTTTGACCCAGATGACATGGATGTGGATGAAGATGAGGACCCATTTGGTGCCTTTGGCCGCTTTGGCTTCAATGGGTTGAGTAGGGGTCCAAGGCGAGCCCCAGAACCACTGTACCCCCGGCGCAAGGTGCAGGACCCCCCTGTGGTGCATGAGCTTCGGGTATCCCTGGAGGAGATCTACCATGGCTCCACTAAGCGCATGAAGATTACAAGACGGCGTCTCAACCCTGATGGGCGAACTGTGCGCACCGAGGACAAAATCCTGCACATCGTCATCAAGCGCGGCTGGAAGGAAGGGACCAAGATCACCTTCCCCAAAGAGGGCGATGCCACACCTGACAACATCCCAGCCGACATTGTCTTCGTGCTCAAAGATAAGCCTCATGCACACTTCCGCCGAGATGGCACCAATGTGCTCTACAGTGCGCTCATCAGCCTCAAGGAGGTGGGGCGTGTGTGTGTGTGTGTGTGTGTGTGTGTGTGTGTGTGTGTGTGTGTGTGTCTAGAGGAAGCACCTCTTTCCTTTCCTTTCTGACACACATTCCCACCCCCCACCCCCACCCCCACCCCCGCGTACATCTTTGTCCTTTCTCTCCACTCTCTGTGCCTCGCTTCTCCTCACTCTGCCTTATCTTCCCCAGGCGCTGTGTGGCTGCACCGTGAACATTCCCACCATTGATGGCCGAGTGATCCCTCTGCCCTGCAACGATGTTATCAAGCCAGGCACCGTGAAGAGACTCCGCGGGGAGGGCCTCCCCTTCCCCAAGGTGCCCACTCAGCGGGGAGACCTCATTGTTGAGTTCAAAGTTCGGTTCCCTGACAGATTACCACCGCAGACACGGCAGATCCTTAAGCAGCACCTCCCCTGCTCCTAGGCTCCGCCCTGGCCAGTCTGGAGCCCGCCACAGCAATACCCCACACTCACCCCATCTCATGTGGACCCAGTTGGATGCCCACCGGACACTGGCACCTTTCTAAAATGCAAAAAAAAAAAAAAAAAAAAAAAAAGCCACTGATTTTCAGGAAACTGTTCCTGTCCCCAACCCCTTTCAGAGCTGGGCTGCTTTGGGGGAATGGGAGGGAGGTGGGAGAGCTAGCCCAGGCCAGGGGTCAACTTTCTGTCACTAGCTTTGAATCCAGTTCCCACTCCAGTGGCTGGAGAGTGACTTGAGTGCTACTTGAAGATAGAGAGTCCTTGTCCATGCCTGTAAATAGCATGTCCTCCTCCCTCTCAGCCTTGTACACCTTTCCTCTCCCTTCCCTTTGGCTTCCTCCTGTTTCTGGAGAAAGAGGACAGAAAGGACACCCCTCCCTCAGGTCTGTAGTGTCCAAGGCTATCCCACAAGTATTCATGCACATGGAGCACTCGCCTAAAGTGGTCTGTGTCTCTCTGGGAGACGAGAGGAGCGGACATAGGAAGGGAAGGTCCGTTACCTGTGAATAAGGCCATCCATTGAGCACGAGACACTTCATTTGGGGACAGGGAGGTGAACCAACACTCAGGAGCCTCCCCAACAGCTGCTCTGCCTATGCCCCACAGAGTTGGAGGGTCTGTCCCCCCAGCTGCTCTAAGGAGTGTTTACGGGTGGGGAAAAGAGAGGCTGAGGCATTACAGCTAAGAGGTGGGGCAGGACCCACCTCCCGGCCATCATCAGGAAGGAAAGGGCTTAGGGGTCAGGTGGCAGCTACTCCCCACCAAGAGATTCAGGATCACAGGTTCTCCCCACATCTCTGAACTCAGGGCCAGGCCACCCCAAACTTCCAAACCCCACTTTTGTGATATGTGAAGCTACTTATTTCTTACCTTTCTTGGAGGCTGTGTCAGAGATTTCCAGCCCCTCTCTGCCTGTGTGACCCCCACCCCACTCCCACAGTTGTATAAAAGTCAAACCGTGAAGAGCTGGGAGGAGACTGCTTCAGCTGCTCCTGGGGTGGGGTCTTTAGGTTTTCTCACTTTGACAAGCCCCTGAATGTTTTTATAGTAGTTTTTTGTATTTTTTTGTAATGACAGTATTATGAAAAAAATAAAGTATTTTAAAAATATGGCCTCTGAGCAGGAGCAGGGCCCCTGGGGTGCAGGCAGGAATGCAGTGGCACTGTCGGCCTCCTTCCAGAGCCCTGATCACACCCAAAAAAGCCAAGCGACCTCATATAAGCCGAAGCTGACCCTTCTTCCTGTAAGCTGACTTTTTGGAATTCCAGAACATACACCCTAGACAACAAAGCTAGAAGCCACAAGCCTGCTGTCTAGAAGAAGACACCCTTGGCTGTGAGAAACAGAGCCTGTCCTCTTCAGAAGCGCTATCAACATGAGCACGAACAGACTTGTCTAAACGTTCTCTTTGAATTAGAGACATTTTATTCCTTGGAGGGAATGGAGGACTTTCTGACTGATGAGAACAGGCACACTCCCAAAGACAGTTTGGCCACCAAGTGGGCTGGAGAGATGGCTCAGCAGCTAAGAGCAAGCACTTCCTGTTCTTACAGAGGAGCCAAATTCAGTTCTCAGGACAAATACTGGGCAGCTCACAGCTGCTCAGGGGAACCTGACAGTCCTGGCCTCTGCAGGAACCTGCACTCATGTGCACACATGCACACACACTTATTTAAAAATAATAAAATTAATTTTTTCTTAAGTTTGGGCACAGAGAATGTAACTAGAGTATGCTGGCAGGGCCTGGCTGGGGATCTGGGTTCCCTGAAGGGCACTAAACACATTGTTGCTCCTTGAATCACACGTTTTCTGAGGATGTCCTGACCTGCCTGTCCCTGCTAGACAACTCTGACTTCTCAGGGCCTGGTCAATACTGCATAAAGGCCACTGCCTTTTCCCCTTGGGTCTGGTAGAAGGAACTCTGTGGTTATAGGAATGGCCACCTTCAAGTATGCCAGCCACACTGCTGGCTGGAGAGAGGCCCAAAACAGCCTTGAGACCACTGTTCCCAATACCACAAGGATGGCTGCCTTCTGCTGGGCTTGGCCCCCCACAAGTGGACCCTAGGCGTCTCTGGACCTTCCTGACTCTTCATCCTGTGCAGAAACACTGACAAAGGCTCCCATCCTCTGACATGAAGCACTTCCTGTGGGAGGCTCTTCCTCCTGCTCCCCAAACCAGGGGGTCTGGATCACAAAGATGTCTGCTTGGGTGGGGTAGACCCCACCCTGAGTAATCCTACTCCATTCTCTCCTGGTCTCATTCACTTGGGGCTAAATATTATCTTGTGTCTTCCCTGAGACCTAAAACTTCAGGATCTGGATGTCCTGGACCAGAATTCTCCTTCTGGCCCCTCTGTGAACACATAGGACCTAGGAAATTGTCCTGTCTTCATGTTTCCACTGAACACACTCTGCTGGGAGCATGGGACCCTGTGATCCTAGAAACCAGGCTATCTGAGGTAAGATAAGCTTTTGTTAAAATGCACACACATACACACACACACACACACACACACACACACGGGCACGCACACACAATAGAGGAGAGAGAGGAAAAAGGAAAAGAGGAGAGTGGAAGGAAGAACCTTATGAAAGTCAAGAAACTAGGGAGTGTTTCCTGGATGGATCTTTATTGGATTTTCTCACTTGGCCAATTTTTTCAGTGTGTGTGTGTGTGTGTGTGTGATTCTGTAATGACAACTATGGCAATCATTTGTCCATTTTGTATGACAGTATGTCTTTAGAATTGGCTACCCTGGATCGTACCGTTTTAGTCATTGGAATCACATTTAGTTTCAGGACACCTCTCAGCTCTCTGGCTGTCAGGACATCTGACTGTGACTTGAACCTTCTTGCACCTCCCTTCTCTTTGGCCTCTTTGGACTATGAACGAATTTCCAAATCTCCAATATCCTCCTCAGGAGGGAACGGAAAAGCCGCCCCTCTCTGTGATGCACACGTGCAGCCCTCCAGTTGTTTGCTCCTGAGCGCTGCCCTCCACAGCTGGTGTCTGTTAGTGCCCTCTCTCACAACTGGCTCACTACTGTCTGTAGCTTCAGCTATGGGTGATCGTGTGCCCTCTTCTGGCTTCCTTAGGCACTGCATGAACGCGGCACACAGTCACACATTCAAGCAAAACATGCATGCATGTAAGAAAGTAAAATACAGGGGCTGGAGAGACGGCTCAGAGGTTAAGAGCACTGACTGCTCTTCCAAAGGTCCAGAGTTCAATTCCCAGCAACCACATGGTGGCTCACAACCATCTGTAATGAGATCTGGTGCCCTCTTCTGGTGTAAGAGCATACATGCAGGCAGAACACTGTATACATAATAAATAAATCTTTAAAAAAAAAAAAAGAAAGTAAAATACACAGCCAGGGCTACACAGAGAAACCTTGTCTCAAAAAACCAAGGAAAAAAAGAAGACAAAAGAGAGGACAAGAAGAAAATGAGGAGGAGGAGAAAAAAGTAAAATACAGAGAGACAAGTTTTTAAGTCAACAAATTGAAATTTTGGAGTTGAAAAATACAATATCTGAAATGAAAATTTTGGTAAGAATATTAACATATTAGGAATACAGACAAAAATCCGTAAACTTAAAGCTAGGTCAGTGAAATTATTCACTTTGAAGAATGGAGAGAAAAAAGAATAAAGAAAGAGGAAGAAAGCCTTTAAGACCTGTGAAACACCACCAAGCAAACAAATAATGGAAGTTCTAGAAACAGAGGAGAAAAAGGGTAAGAAATATGCAAAGTCCTGGGTCAGACACCCTAGCATTAGAAGGAAGGGGAAGAAGAGGAGGAGAAAGAGGAAGAAGAAATGACTGAAAACTCCCCCAAATTTGATGAAAGAACTTATTAATATGTATACCCAAAAAGTTCAGTGATGGAGATCATTGGTGAGTGCTTGCCTAGCATGTGAAAGGCCTTGTTCAATCCCAGCACAAGAAAAGAGTAATCCCAGGTGGGTGTGTGGGACAATGAAGAGACCCACAGCTGGACAGATTGCATCCACCTTCAGTCAGGCTTAGAGCCAACTATTATCAGAAGCCATGCAAACCAGAAGGCACTGGTGATACAGTGCAAATGTTGGAGGGAAATCCTATACCCAGAAAAACTACCTGTCAGAAATGAAGGAGACAGAGGGTGCACTGCCGTAATCCCCACAATGAAGAGACGAAGGCAGGAAGACCACGAAATCAGAGTCCAGCTTGGATTAGACAGCAAGTCTGAGGGAAACCTGAAGGATGGTACCGCTAAAGCCAGACACCAACAAAATAAAGGTGGCTCGCATCTTTGATCCCAGCACTCAGGAGGAAAGGGCAGGTAGATAGTTGGATGTCCAAAGCCAGCCTGGTCTACTTAGTGAGTTCCAGGACAGCTGGGGCTAAACAGTGAGACTCTGTCTCAAACAAAACACTGAAGGAGAAATCAAGACATCCCTAGGTAAAGACTAAGAAAATTCATCACCAGAAAATATGTCCTAAAACTCCTCAAGGTTCCTTCAGGTTGATATGAAGGAAACTAAGGAGTACCTCAGATCTACATGAAATAAAGAGAACTAGTAAAAAGAAATTACACAGATTAAAAATAAAAGTATGTACAAAGATTTTTATTTGTATTTTTCTTATCTTACCCCCACATGATAGATCACAACATCTGCAACTCCAGTTCCAGGAGAACCAACACCCTCCTCAGCGCTCTTGGGCATTGCACACACATGGTGCACCAACATACACGCAGGCAAACCACTACACAACACATTCAATCCAAAGGAAATTAGAAAAAAGATTCCTGCATAAATCGGTATTTATAAATATGAGTTAATGGCTATACATCGCAAAAATATTTTATGTTCAAAAGGGCATGTGTATGTGCACACACACACATACACATGGACCCACACACATGCAAAAAACAGGCATACACACACGTGAAAACAGAATAATAAAAATTAAGATGAATAAATATAAAAAATGAGAGAGAAACCTATGTTCTGCATGGAGATAATGAGAAAGGTGCCCTGAGGGCAGGACCCCATCTTATGAAAACAAAATTCATTTGGAAGGAGAGACCCTGAACTAAGAGGTTCTTTGCTAGAAAACAACTGCCTAAGGACGTGTTTTTCTGAGCTCAGTTCAAGGCACCCAGAGCACCACAGCTGTGGTATAGTGGGGCTAGACTGCAGATCCAACAGGCAGCAGAACTGGCAGGAAGAAAACTACCAAATACAAGTTCGGAAAAAAGTATGCCAAGAGCAGCGCCTGTTAGCAGAGCTGGAGTGGTTAACTGAAGAACAAGAAAGACCCATGAGGTCTCTAGGTGAGCTCTAAAGGAGAGAGACAACAAGCCAGAAGGCTCATGGGTAAAGGTGCTGGCTGCCAAACCTGACAACCGGAATTCAATACCTGGGATCCTCATGGCGGAAAGAGAGCATCAATTCCTGCAGACCGTGCTCTTACCTCCACACGTGTGCCATGGCATTTGTGCCCACACACATACTCAAGTAAATAAATACATGGAACTAGGTGTCACCAATTTCCAAGGCAGATAGCTGAGTAAAGGAGGTTAGTGGCAATACATGGACAAAGGCCGAGTAGCCTTTGTGACAGAGAGGCAGAGGCTACTGTTCTTACAGTAAATGAAGACATGGGGAGGGAAGCCAACAAGTTGGGCAAAATTACCAGCCTGAGGTAGAGTATGGCATGGGAAGCTGGGTCTCTTAGAATCCCAGGCATCTATAGCTAGTGCATATATGTGGTTTCTATTGTGTGTAACTGACAGGTTCATACATAGGCTAGTGTTGAACAGGATCACACAAAGAAACTGTCAATTGGTTTTCAGGAGGGTGGGGGAAGGGTGGAAGCCAAAGAAGTCAGGAAAACTCAGGCAGAGAACTGTGGGAGCCCGGGAACACTGCAGGGGCAGAGAATTGGGGGGGGGGGGCGGGGACACTGCAGGGGCAGAGAATTGGGGGGGCCCGGGGACACTGCAGGGACAGACAGAGAACTGTGGGGGCCCGGGAACACTGTAGGAGCAGACAGAGAACTGTGGGAGCCCGGGAACACTGCAGGGGCAGACAGAGAACTGTGGGGCCCGGGGACACTGCAAGGGCAGCATCTTTCCTAACCTCCCCAAAGATAACGTCCATTTCTACCTTGGCTACATCAGGGAACTTGATGCAAGCTGCCTTCACCTGGAGTCTTTTCCAGATGGCTGAAAAGCCCAGAAGTACCTGCTGCAGACAGGGGCAGAATGAGGACAGGAAGGCCTCAAAAGCCTGAGGAGTCCATCACATTCTCCTATCACTAATTTATGACCCTTCTTTTATTCTTTCATAAGTTCTCAGAGTTACTCACCCTCCAACCCTGGTCTCAATGCAGGCCGCACTAGGGCTCTAAATTGGCATGAGTCATGCCAGGAAAAAAACATACAGAAGAGATTAATGAATACTACCCCCCATCCCCACCCCTACCCACCACAAGAGCAGGCGAGTCCTGGGTCTCATGGGCTGTTTTCTGGTAAGCTCTCCAAGGCTTGGTCCCATGTGATGGAGAGGAAGCAAAAGCAGTACAGAAGCTGACTAAACCAGTCCTTTGTGGCAGGTTCTGGGGACCTGAGCGGCCAATGACAACTCATGAGCTCAGTCACACAATAACACCGTACACTTTAAAGTACTTTCTTGTCATTGTCCCATATGCTCTGTATAAGCATGCTGTGAGGGATACAGGCCAAGAGGATCTCAAGGAGGAATCTGAGCCTCGGGGAGGTTAAATAATTGGTCCAAAATCAAGACTCTGAAAGCGGGTCTTGGGACCTTTGTTCTACTGTGTCACACTGCCACCTGGTGGGCATTCGTCAGCTGTACAGATCTTCCATTTCCAGGCCTAAGAAGAACCAGAAGCTGGTATTCCGGATGGTGGTTTCTTCCTTTAGTTTCCTCACTGTAAAGTGTTTTGCTGACAGAAATGAGCTCTGGCAACACGTAGTCTCAAAGACTGTGGGATCTGAAAAGGGAATTTGGTTAACCCTTGAGAGCTCTGAGAGCAAGTAGAAATTTAGTGATAAATACCTATTTGGTGTGTGTTCTCCCCTTTACACTGATGCTGAAGGACAAGAAATGAGAGACCATGACAGCAAGAGTTCGTTTAGCCAAGGCACGATGACTCTCACAGTTGTGCAGGGATAAAACTACCATGTCGATCGAGAGGGCCAAGACCAAGATGACCAAGAAGCCTCTCAGAGGACAACATCAGATATGTCTACCATATGCGAACAGTTATAGATTTAGGGATTCAAATGGGCCTTCATCATGACCAAAACAGATGGTTTCATTGACAGAAGAGTAACATGATATTCTGGCCTCACTGGGAAAAACTCAGCTGATAAATACTGAATGCTGTGATAGATGAAGCTATATAGCTCCACTGATTCACCATTTTTCTCAGCATGTTTGTTGAAAAGTTAAATGGCGCCGGGTGGTGGTGGCACACACCTTTAATCCCAGCACTCAGGAGGCAGAGGCAGGCAGATTTCTGCAAGTTCGAGGCCAGCCTGATCTACAAAGCAAGTTCCAGGACAGCTAGGGCTACACAGAGAAACCCTGTCTTGAAAAAAAAAAAGTGATAGGAGGAGGAGGAGGAGGAGGAGGAGGAGAGAAAGGAGGAAACACCCGGGGCCAGTCAGCAGACACGAGAAGCAGTGAAAGTAAGATATACAGAAAGAAAGTAAAAAGCCCGGAGGCATAAGGCAGATAAAGAGAAACAGGTTAATTTAAGTTAAAAGAGCTAGCCAGAAAAGAGCTAAGGCCAATCATTCCAAACTAACAATAAGTCTCTGTGTCATGATTTGGGAACTGGTTGATGGCCCAAAAGAAAAAGCCTGGTACAGAGGAAGAAGGAGAATTTGCACCATTCAGAAAGATTACCTGAGCTGATGACAAACACCATCAATTACAGATGAGCAAACTGGATCAATGGGACATGGAAGCACGTATTGACAAAATGGGGATTCCAATGACTGCATTCATACACAGCCTGACCCACGGGGCAAAGGACTAAGGCAACTAAAAGACCCTCATACTCCAGCCAATCATGTTGCCACTTTGGGCACTTCTTAGATTTTTTTCCTCTGTGCATGCCCTTAGATTTATAGCTTTTTGTTTTGTATTTATTGTCTGCCAGTTGAAGGCACATGTATCTTTACAGAGTGAAACAAGACTTTCTGTCATTTTCAAAGTAGAAAGTAGGATGACTTAACTTACCAGTGGTCTCATCACTCCCAAATAACCACAATTCACACAAAACCAATAGAGTTTTTCAAAGAAAATTATCCATCATTTTTTTCTGAACAATAATTAAACTTTATGGTAAAAAGCAGCACAAAAAGAAACAAAAGAAAAGCTTGGTGCCAATTCTCATTCTCTTCTGTTTAGGTAAACTATAAACACTTACTATGTATGGATAATGTAGTTTGCTAATTTAATTAATGAATTTGTGGTTTTTCTCTGAAATTCAAATCTTGAAGATGTTAAACTTCTACACATTTATTCTTCTTTGAGCTACAGTCTCGGCTACTCAAGAGGCTGAGGGAGGAGGACTGCTTTAGTTCAACAGTGTGAGGACAGCCTGGCGGCGGCGGTGCACACCTTTAATCTCAGCACTTCGGAGGCAGAGGCAGGTGGATCTCTGAGTTAGAGGCCAGCCTGGTCTACATAGTGAGTTCCAGAACAGGCAGGGCTATGAAGAGAGGCTCTGTCTCAGTATAAAACTAACTAAATAAATAAAACAAAAAACCTGAGGTACTAAGTTATTTGATTGAGGTTTCACAGACAGGAAGTGAAAACTGGAGTTTGGATGCCATAGTTCAATGTTAAAATGCATATCCTAAAGCATGCACAGCTCTGATCCTGGCAATGAAGACATAAGGGCAGCACTGAGATTCCACTGTATGAGTTGTCTGACACAGGCAACATTTTGGCCCTAAGCTCCAGTAGGCGGCTCTAGGATCCATGTTGGGGGTTGGGAGTTCTGTGTTCTATGATGTAGTGATGACCTCAAAAAACTGCCACTAAACTGAAGAAAATGGAATGGCTGCTGGAAGACCTGTTCAAGGCTAAGGGAGATATGGGGCTTCTCCAAGGCCAGCTGACTCATGCTCTGGCCTGCAGACACTGCAGCAGCAGCATCTGTCTCCAAAGTCCAGGGAATCTGGTGATACTATTCTTGTTCATGGTTTGGCAGATCCGAAGATGGTGGCAGCTTGGGAAATGGCAAAAGTTTCAGTCCTGGTGCTCTGGAGACATAATGATGCAAGGCAAGGTAGGTGGCTGCTGTGGGATGTCCTGTATGCTGTAAAAATATGTTGCTATGATTGACTGATAAATAAAATGCTAATTGGCCAGTAGCCAGGCAGGAAGTATAGGTGGGACTAGTAGAGAGGAGAATTGGGGGAACAGGAAGGCAGAGAAGGAGATGCCAGCCTGCCACTCAGGGAGCAGCATATAAAGGCAGCAGGTAAAGCCATGGAACACATGGCGACATATAGATTAACAGAAATGGGCTGAGTATAAGTGTAAGAGCTAGACAATGGTAGGCCTGAGCTAATGGCCGAGCAGTTTAATTAATATGAGCTTCTGAGTGATTATTTTATAAGCAGTTGTGGGGTCCGTGGGACTGGACAGGACTAAAGAAAACTCCAGCTACAAATGGTGCCCAACGGGTTGGCAAGAGTTTCCACCTAAAACCTGAGAAACAAGATTGTAAAAATGGAGCTTAAAACAGCTTCCTATTAATCTCTCTCAAGTTAGCAGCAGCCTGCGGGTTTGAGCTGCTATGGCGGGTTCATGGCGTGCAAGCTTGACCTGCAGTATGGCGGGAAGGAGGCACCTCCAAGCTGCACATTACGCTGCTACTGTGTGGTGGATTTAGCCTTTGCGAGTAAAAAAAAAAAAAAAAAAAAAAAAAAAAAAAAAAAAAAAAAAAAAAAAAAAAGTTTCTGGGCTACATGCTGCTTGTATAGAAGCATAGACCCACTATGGCTCCCAGTGGTAAATTATCTCCACTATGTTGAAAAACTAAATTGGATGCAGCTAACAGCCAAGACTTATGCTTTAGTACTAACCGCTGCAGTTTAAAGCAATAGTTACACAATAAGTCAGATTCAGATGAAACAAGACTTTAAATGGTTTATAATCTGTGTAAAAATGTAGGCTTGAAAGAGACAGAAAAAAAAGGAATAAATGCAGTTATATAAAGTGATAGTTTTTAAAAATAAAGTCTTTAAAGAGACAGTAAAGGTAGTATAAAAAATAAGCCACATAAAGATGGATATTGCACAGAGAATCTGGATTGTGTCTTTGGGATTCTTAACTGCAGAAAAACATTTGATTGTAAAAGCTGTTGAGTTAAGCCAATACGTATATTTTAAAGGTATCTTGACTTCAAAATTTGGATCTAAGGATATGTTGCTTTGGAAAGGAGGCTCTGCTTTTGTTTCCACAGAAAGCCAGAGGCTATGGATTTGTTCCAGATTAAGATACATCAAGTTTGACCAGCCAAGACTCCCTCAAAGGTCTCTGATGACACCATGGCCCAGATGATCCAACATCCAGAAAGGTTTCAAGGCAACTGGCTGAGACAATACAGCCTCACGGACTACCCCATAAGCCTAAAAATTTCTTTGTGTCCCCATAAGATACAGCGCCCCCATTCAGCAGGAAGTAGTAAGAGAAGCTACGCCCAAATTCCCAAATATACCAAGCTGGCTTTGGAGATGGAATTGGCTCTAAACCCAAGCATATTACTAAAATAAAAGGTTAAGAGATTCTTGCGTCCCATATCAGAAAAGCCCTCTGGTGTGGGACAGAGAAAAACCAATATTTTTATTTAAAACAGGTTGATTATAAATGCAATCTCTTTCTAAAGAAGAAAAGGGCATATGATATAGATATGATAGGATGAAAGGGTAGATTAATCAACCTACTTTTAAAGAGCAACAACTTGTTTGAAATGTTTTACATTGGTACAGATTTTAGTTTACTGATACAAATTTAAAATTAAATTTGTTATACTGTGTGTATATTTCTACTTTGTTTAAGGTATTATATTTGTACAGCTCATTTAAAATTGTAATGGATAATTAAGAAATAGATTAATAATTAGTCATTTATGATAATCATTCTTGTAGCCATGTTAGTTAAGTTGTCTAGGTATACACAGATATATTTCAGATAGATAGGTAATCTTCAAACACTTCAAAGACCTACAGAATATGGCATTTAAAATGTTTTAAAAATTTAGACTTTCGCCGGGCGGTGGTGGCGCACGCCTTTAATCCCAGCACTCGGGAGGCAGAGCCAGGCGGATCTCTGTGAGTTCGAGGCCAGCCTGGGATACCAAGTGAGTTCCAGGAAAGGCGCAAAGCTACACAGAGAAACCCTGTCTCGAAAAAACCAAAAAAAAAAAAAAAAAAAAAAAAAAATTTAGACTTTCTGGACAGTGAGACATGTCTGCTCCTAGTAGCACCAAATTTACTTCAGAGAGGAGGAAGGGTATCGAAGACACTCTATATAGAGTTTATCTTCACCTTGGCAAAAACAGCCATTTGGCTAAGAAACTGTTCTTGCCTGGACTGCTTGATCAATTGGACATGCAGGACCCATAGGAAGGTGACCACTGAACTTTGCTTGGCAAAATGGTCCTTCAGGTTCCTACTTCGCAGAGGAAACTGCCAGACATTCTATAGGACACAGAGAAAAGTGACTGAGAGACTCTAGGCCTGTGGGCTGAAGACAGATGCCCTAACTTTACAGAGAAACTTTAGATGACTGTCCAGACTGCCAGCTGTCTCTGTCTACTCTCGCAAGACTCCTGAAAGTTGCTTGTGTCGTTCTCCCATTTCTCAGGTAATATTATATCCTTCTGAGGTCTTTGATGTAGTTGAAGACTAGATAGTTATAATTTCCTCAGTTATGATAAAAGATAAGTTAGATATGAAACCTTAGACTCACAAATAAAGGATAGACAGGATATCTTTAACATTGTAACTGTAATTCTTACTTGATAATTGTTTTGTTATATGTAATTTTACTATGTTAAAGTTAAAAGCTTCCTTTTAAAAAAAACAGAAAAGGGGAAGTGCTGTGGGATGTCCTGTATGCTGTAAAAATATGTTGCTATGATTGACTGATAAATAAAATGCTAATTGGCCAGTAGCCAGGCAGGAAGTATAGGTGGGACTAGCAGAGAGGAGAACTGGGGGAACAGGAAGGCAGAGGTGGAGATGCCAGCCTGCCACTCAGGGAGCAGCATGTAAAGGCAGCAGGTAAAGCCATGGAACACTGGCAACATATAGATTAACAGAAATGGGCTGAGTATAAGTGTAAGAGCTAGACAATGGTAGGCCTTAACTAATAGCTGAGCCATTTAATTAATATGAGCTTCTGAGTGATTATTTTATAAGCAGTTGTGGGGTCCATGGGGCTGGACAGGACTAGAGAAAACTCCAGCTACAGGTGACCACTGCCCTTGGATGTAGATCTGGATAAATAACTATTGGATGACATGTGAGGTCAAATGGAGGGTCATTGATATAGATGTGGCCCCAGATATGTGACTATAAGCCATAGATTAGTGACTAGTTGAATGCTCAGTGACATGATTTGAGAGCAAGTGACTAATCACTGACCCTAGGGTACATGAGGAAATGCTGATCTTTAAGTAAGAACTGGGTTCTGACATTAACAATGGGTGAAGAGCAGGGTAAGTGACCACTGACCAGAGCTGTGGGGTAGGTGAGCCATAGAACAGAGACTAATGAATGTATGACACATCACGTCTCTGAGAAGCCATCATACCTAATAGTATTATGCTCTATTCCCTAGGGACTACAACTTCTGCACCATTTGGCCTTCCTTGATTGCCTGTGGAAGCAAAAGTCAGAGGAGGAAGAGGAATATGGGGAAGAGAAGGAAGAAGAATCATTATCTCTGGACCCACTAAAACCATATTCTCCTTCCAAAGACGCTCCCACTGGAAATGAATTCACTGCAGCCCCACGCCAGCCATCATGTAGTTCTGAGGGCCTCCTAAAGGCCACAGAGATACGAGAACAAGTCCCCACACAACCTTCAAGCCCTTCCAGATCCTTCCCTACTTTCCAGATCCTGACCAACCTACCTGTGAGGAACAAGATAGCTTCAGGGAATTCCCTGCAGCAGAGAAAAAGCCAGCTCTTCTGGGGTGTTCCCTCGCTACACAGTGAGTCCCTGGAGGTTATTTTCCTGAGCTCAGATAGCCCTTCTCCACTAAAGTTGTCTATTTGTCCCTCTGTCTTCTTCAACAAGGTTGCCTTCGTGCCTGTGTACAACTTGCTGCTTCTCTATTATCACTCCCCAACTTACTATCCTACCCCTGAAGCCCACACTATGAGAAATCTGGAAGGAATGGTACCTGGTTCTCAACTAGTTCAATCTCCACCTTCCCCTCTTATCCCATCAGTATCCTCCAATCTTAAACCTTTGCCTATGGGTTGCAAGGGAATTGTATCTGACACTGAGACACAAACACAGTGGTTTACCCCACAGAAAGAGGTTCCTTGTGTCTCTAAGAATCAAGCCCTGCACTCACAGCCTGAACTCCAAAAAACCAGACCTTCCACACTCTTCTATTCATCTGAGGCTTGGAGGGAGATGCCAGGGGATCCCAGCCTCCACCAACACAATCCAGAATCACCTTCTGCCTCTCTGTTGTATCCTTCTAATCCTCAGGAAGTCCTAACTAGGTTTGAGGCCCCACAGATAACCATGAAACAACATGAGCACCCAAAAGTTTCTGAATCTGCAATGCCAACTACAAGCCCACCCCCAATTTCCTTGACAGAATACCAGACAGCGAACCCTATAGGAGACCTGTCTGAATTGAAAACTCTCTGGGAAACCACAGTGCAAAAAGAGAACCCTCAGATCTATGAGCTTCCAATCTCGGCTCCTTGCCAATTCATAGTACCCATGACAGACCCTCAAGGAACTGGCCCTCCAGGAACTCCCCGTGGATATGAAGCTCAGTGGGGAATCATACAACATAAAGACAGTCCCCAAGCTTCTGATCCCCCAATGTCAGCCTCCTGCCAACCATCAGGTTCTCTGTCAGAAGTAAACAATATTAACCCCAAAGGAAGACTTTCTACACCCAAGGACTTCTGGGGAAACATGGGAGATAAAGAGAAACCATCTGTTTCTAAGTGTCCAGTGCCAGCCCCCTGCCTTCCTCTAGACACCCTGTCAGAACACCAGAAAGAGAGTCCCCTGGAGGATCTGTGTGGATACGAGCCTCAACGGCAACACTCAGGGAATCTTGGAACACAAAGGGAAAACTCAGGCAATCTCTGGGCCTCTGAAACCCCAACCCTGAACTTCAACATGGGGTTCTATGAAACCACCCCTGCATGTGTCCCATTGGGATCGGAGACTCCATTGAAGGGTAGATCTAGTACAGAAAATCTTTGTGTCTATGCAGACCTAGTTTCATCTCCTAACCTTCCCTCTGCCTCTCTTCCAGACTTTGCAATGGGCCCCCAAAGAGTCTTTTTAGAGTCCAAAGCTGTGTGGGAAACAAAGGAGCAGAGAAGGAATCTCTGGGTGTTTGATTCCCCATGTCCTGCCCATACACCACCTCTAGCCCCCTTTATAAAACCACAAAGAATCAATACTGTGCATGACTTCCCTAGATCAGAAGCTACATGGAAGGATACTGAGCATACAAGAAAATGTTTGTCTTCTGAGCCTCCATTGCTGAATCTCAACCCATCCCCAACTCTTGTACAGTCGCCCCTCAGAGTTAGCTCCATAGAAAACCCACTTAAATCTAAAGTTTGGTATGGGGACATTCAAAGAAAAAATAACTTCTTGGCTTCTGAGTGTCCAACTCAAAGCTCATTCCAACACCTGCTTAGAGCCAGATCCTCAGGAGTCCTATCTAAGCCTGCTGGAGGATACATGAAGCAGAATGAAAACTGTTTTGTTTCTGTATCCTCAGTTTGGGAATCTAGCCCACCTCCAAATTCTGTTTCCAAGTCTCACATAAGTGAGCCTTCTGGAGATCAGTGCAACTGTAAACCTATGGAATCTGCAGTAGAACAGAGAAAGGACTCCTGGGCCACTGAGCTACCAGTCCCCAGCTTTCTCTCTACTCCAACACATGAGCCACACTCCAACACTGAGTTTGTATGTAGAAGTATACAAGAAATAGAGGCCTCCCAGGCCCCCAGTCCTCAAGTAGTGATTCCTCTGCAACCAACATCCTGGCCTCCCATTCAAGCTAGAACTCAGAAGTCTGAGCCTACCCAGACTGGCCTACAGAAGGAAAAGATGGTCTCAGAAGCCAAGGCAAAGGCTCCATCTCCCCAGGGTGGGGCTGTCTCAGGGGTGTGTGACCACCCTGTGAACCATCCCTGGCAATGGAGTAGAGAACTAGAGCTCAGACTAAAGAAACTCCAGCAGAGCACCACTTCCAAATCCCCAGGCCCACATCGCTCACTTCGCAGCTGCCCAGCTCTTAATTCCCCAACTCCAGAATCTTGGGGACTTTCCTCCTGTCCCCCACATCAGACTCATCCTCTCAATCTGGACCCCTGTTCTTCAAGTGCTGACCCCCCAAAAGTTCAAAGGGCAGAACCTCAGCCTGCCCAGGCCCCTCAATGCTCATCTTCCAGCAGAGCAGAGCAAGAGTCTCCAAAAAACAAGAGGATGAAACGGAAGGTAGCAGTCCAGATCCCACCCCCAGGGCACGTTCATACAAAGGCTACTGAAAACTACTCAGATACAGGGGTTCTAGTCTCTAACAGGAGACAAGATAAGACTTTAGTACTACTTTCAGCCCCAAAGAAATGGAGTCCCAGAAAATCCAAAGCAGAGAAATGTGGAGGAGGGACTGCAAGATTGGAATCATCCACTGCCACAGGGAAAAACAACCTTGCCCAGGCCTGCAGACCAACAGAAGCCCCTATACACAGACTTTCTAAAAAGTCTCAGTAAAGAACTCAGCATTCTCAACACACTGTTATTGCTCAGCAGCTTCTCCCAAATGCTGCTGGTCTCCAGGATCAACAAAGAGCAGGCCTAATAGCTGGTGATACCCAGAATCCTCACTATTGTAAGCATTGTCCTTGGGCCCCCATGGAGAAGCAGCTCCCATCCTCCACACCCCAGGCTCCCCCTACCAGAGGTTTTCAAAGATTGTTAGCTAAATTTCTAGGTGTCCCTAGACCCCTGCTGCCTAAATCCAGTCAGTAAAGTATGATAGTCCTGGTACCCAGTATCCCACAGCCCAAACCAAACCAGGTGTGGGTATGGATATAGAGACAAATAGAGAAAAAACTAATAAAGTAGTTCAACTAGACAAATCCCAGTTATGTCTTCTTTAAAGTCTAGGTTACTAAAGATGTCAGCTCCCTATTCTTCTAGAGCCATATCCTCTACTGACTAGGTTCTAGAGCACTGGTTCTCAACCGGAGAGGTTGAGCAGCCCTTTCACATGGGCTGCCTAAGACTATTGGAAAAACACTATAGTTCCTAACAGCAGCAATTATGGTTAGGGAGTAGCAGAACATGAGGAACTGTATTAAAGGGCCACAGCATTGGGAAGATTGAGAACCACTGTTCTAGAGAAAGAATGAAGCACTCTGCAGTTTTTTCTTTTTCAGACTTTTAGGAGTCCACAGGTCTATATTCTCTAGGGTAAAGCTGCAGACGAACAGTCTGGTGCTGTTCTTAAGAGACAAACACTTTATACCAAGTGAAAGAAAAATGCATCCATTCACCTAAGTACCAATGATATAAACAACTGTAGTTTGTATTACACATAGTCCGTCTTTTCATCTATTTGATTTATAAATTCTGTTGTTTTGAGGACAGGGTCTTGCTATAACCCAGACTAGTCTCCCAGCTTATTATCCTCCCACCTCAACTTCCCAAGCTCACAGACTCCAGGTGTGTGCCACCATGTTTAGCTTCTGTATCTTTCTAATCATTTCTTTTCAGCTTTACATCTCAATCCTGCTCTTCTCTCTCCTTGAATCAGCTAATTTGCCCCCAAGGCCACAAAAACAAGTGTCTTCACATTTTGGACCTGTATTGAGACTTGTGACTTGTCTGTTTTTGTTTACTATTTGTTTACTGGAGATTAAATCTAGGGCCTTGCAGTGCTCAGCAAGTGCTCTACCACTTGGCTAAACCCCCAATCCATTTTCACATGTTCAATAATTGCTGATTTACAGGTTTTACCCGTTTTCTGGTGCACTGTTTGTTGGGTATGTACTACTTTCTCTGGTGGATAAAACAATTCAGACAAAACACGTTTGCCCAAAGTCCAACACATCTCATACAGCTAAAAACAAGGGATTGACAGAGATGCTGTTCCTTTCGGCCTTGTCTTTTCCCAGCTTCTGGAGAATCCTCACGAACCTTGGCTACTAGCTCCCTTTCCCCATTTCCAAAGCTATCAAAGGCAAGACAGGTCTTTCTCATATTCCATCTCTCTAGCCTCTCTTGTCTCTCTCTTCCTTTTGGGGGAGGAGGACTGGGGATTGAACCCAGGCAGGATCTTCAAAATTCAAGGAAAATGCTTTACCACTGAGCTATCTCCCTAGCCCTTCTTCTTCCACTTTAAGGATCCTTGTAATTATGTGAACCTACCTGTACAATCCTAGGCATTGCCTGGTTTACCAAACCCAGGGCTTTAGCCGAGGATAGGCAAGCACTCTAAGTTATAGGCCCAGGCTCCACATCTGTCTTAAAAATCAGATGATGGAGCCAGGCATGGTGACACACACCTTTTTTTTTTTTTTTTTTGGTTTTTTCAAGACAGGGTTTCTCTGTGTAGCTTTGCGCCTCTCCTGGAACTCACTTGGTAGCCCAGGCTGGCCTCGAACTCACAGAGATCCGCCTGGCTCTGCCTCCCGAGTGCTGGGATTAAAGGCGTGCGCCACCACTGCCCGGCGGTGACACACACCTTTAATCCCAGCACTCCAGAGGCAGAGGCAGGAAGATCTTTATGAGCTGAAGGCCAGGCTGGTCTACAAAGTGAATTCCAGGACAGCCAGGGTTACACAGAGAAACCCTGTCTCAGAAAAACAAACAACGGCAAAAAAATCCAATGATAGATGACCTTATTTCCTCTTTCATCCTTAATTCTTTGTATGTATAGTAATACATACACAGGTTACAAAGATTAAGGATGTAGACAAATTGCCAGGCATGGTGGTGTGGTACATACCTTTAATCTAAGCATTCCAGAGGCAGTGGCAGGCAGATCTGAGTTCCAGGCCAGTTTAAGCTACATAGTGAGACCCTGTCTCAAAACAAGAAGATGTAGACATCTTAGAAGGCCATTATCCTACATACAAAATGTATCAATTCAATTCAATTCCATAATGAAACAAATTACTTTGCATGTTAACTTTAAAACATTAAGAGAAAAAAAAAGGTACGAACTCAATTTTTTTTTTAATAATTTATTTTTATTTTACGTACATTGGTGTTTTGCTTGCATGTATGTCTGTGTGAGGCTGTCAGATCTTGGAGTTACAGTTGAGGGCTGCCACCTGGGTGCTGGAGTTGAACCTGGGTCCTCTGGAAGAGCAGTCAGTGTTGTTAACCACTGAGCCATCTCTCCAGTCCGAACTCAATTTCTTATGCTAACTGCAAACATTTCCTTCCAGTTTTGTTTATAGTGACTTTTGCTGTAGTTTTAAATTTATCAACATTCTTCTTTATAATTTTTCTTTTTCTTTTTTTTCTTTTTTTTTTTTTTGAGGTGGGATCTCATATAGAATAGGCTGGCCATAAACTTGCTATGCTAGGATTACAGGCATGTACCACCCCTGATATCTTTATGACAATGACTTCTAATTTATGGAACATTTATAGTTTGTATATTTAGGTTGGTAAACATTTATGGAATTTAGTGAGAATCTAATTCCCCCAAAATAATGTCCAATTTCACCAATACCATATTCTTGAATCCACTACACTAAATAGGCCATAGTGCAAAATATGGGACATTTTCAAGTAGCTCTAGACCCGATCCATATGACCTCATTTTATCCTCACTTTATGAGAAACTTAATTTTCCCTTTTTTTTTTGTTTGTTTTGTTTTTCATAAGGTTTTTGTGCAGCCCTGGCTATTCTGGAACTCAAATTGTAGACCAGGCTGACCTTGAATTTACAGAGATCTGACTGCCTCTGCCTCCCAAGTGTTGAGATTAAAGGGGTACACCACCACTGCCCAGCAAAATGTGTAGCCCAGGCTGGCCTTGAACTCATGATCCCCCTACCTCTGCCTCCTTCAGCAAATTCTATGTGCATGCACCACCACAACTGCCTTAAGCCCATCATTTTTTTTTAAGATTTATTTATTATGTATACAGTGTTCTATCTGCATGCATGCATGCATGCCTGTACACAAGAAGGAGGCATCAGATCTCAGATGGTTGTGAGCCACCATGTGGTTGCTGCAAACTTACTCAGGACCTCTGGAAGAACACGAAGTCTCTCCAGCCCCAAGCCCATCATTCTTAATTCTTCTTATACTCATCTGATTTAATCTATCAATCAAGCCCTAACATACTGTCCATCTCCACTATCACTTTTGTAGTCCAGTCCCTTCTCACCACACTGGCTGCCTACTCCTTCCCATCTATTTTCCACTACTGCAGTTCTCTAGACATCAACACAATCTCAAGTGTGTACCATGAAGTTGAGTAAAAGGAACAATGCTCACCTAGCATGCACAGGACCGTGAATTCAACCCCAAGCATTGCAAAGGAAAAGAAAGCAAATCTCCCTTCACAACCAATTTGTCTTTTGTCTTTTTGAGACAAGGGCTGAAGACTCACTATGTAGCCCAGGAAGGCCTTAAATTTACAATCCTCTTGCCTCAGTCTTCCAAAAGGGGAAGAGAGAGAGACAGAGACAGAGACAGAGAGAGACTAAGACCTTTAAATGATATGTACACATGGTGGCTTAGAACTGTAATCCCAGCAACTGAGACGCAGATATGAGGAAGCAGGAGGATTGCTGCAAGTTTGAGGCCAGCCGGGGCTCTATAGTGAGTTCCAAGTCAACCTTGACTATAGAGTAACAACCTGCCTCAAAAAAAACAAAAACAAAGTCAGGTGGTAGGGGCACCTAGGTAGTCTCAGCAGTCCAAATTCTCAAGAATTTGAGGTCAACCTGGTCTACTGAGTGAGTTCTAGGCTACACAGAGTAACCTTGTCTGGAAAAAATCAAAACAAAAAAACTGAGCAAAGGGACACATTGATGTAATTTGTTACACTGGTCTGATCAAAATAGTTATAAATAACATTTGGTTCACTAGGCAAAGTCTGAACATGGTGTGGCTATCGGACTGGTTCTTGACACACACACACCCCATTTACTGCCAGACCTGACAGCCTGAATTCAATCCCCTAAACCCACACAAAATTCCTGCAAGCTATCTTCTGACCTCTATACTCGTCACCCACAGACATACCCACAAAACACATACATACAAGCCTACACATAAATATAAAACAATTATGAAGTAATAGGAAGCCAGGCATGCTGGCACACACCTGTAATCTCAACAGTCAGGAGGCTTAGGCAAGAAGCCAGTTTGGCGGGCAGTGGTGGCACACGCCTTTAATCCCAGCACTCAGGAGGCAGAGGCAGGCGGATCTTTGTGAGTTCGAGGTCAGCTGGTCTACAGAGCGAGATCCAGGAAAGGCGCAAAGCTACACAGAGAAACTCTGTCTCGAAAAACAAAACAAACAAACAAACAAAAAAAGAAGCCAGTGTGAATTCAAGGCTAGCCTGGGACACACAGCAAAACCTTGTCTTAAAAAATCCAGGGGTGGGGGTGGTGCACACCTTTAATCCCAGCACTGGGAGGCAGAACCAGGTGGATCTCTGTGAGTTCAAGGCCAGCCTGGACTACAGAGCGAGATCCAGGACAGGCACCAAAACTACAGAGAAACCCTCTCTTGAAAAGCCAAAACAAAAAAAACAAAACAACAAAAAAAAATCTAGGCATAGTGGTATAAGCCTTTAATCCCAGCACTCCAGCAGAGGCAGGCAGATCTCTTAAGTTCAAGATCAACCTGGTCTATCAGTAAGTTCCAGGACAGCCAGTACTGAATAGTGAGACCCTGTCCCCCACCCAAAAAAGAAAAAGCCAAAAAAGTAGTAACTAAAAAAAAGTTTTTTTAATGCCACATGTAGGGTAGAAGATTAGCACATACCTATAACCCCCCCAGCACTATAGAGGCAAAGTCAAGGAGGACAAGTTCAAGGTCAGCCTGGGCTATGAAATGGGACACTGCCTCAATAAACTAGTTACTAAAAGGAAATTAATTAAAATACATGTAGGGCTATGGTATTGCTTAGTGATGGGACATTCATTTTGCATGCATAATTCTCAATATGGTAAAGAAAAAATAAATACATGAATAGACACATTTACATACCTACCTATAGAAAGGTGATTTCTGGCCACTGGAAATATTTTTTGCTAGGCATGCTAGTATACAGCTGTAATCCTAGCACCTGAACAGCTGAAGCAAAAGGATCATCCCAAATTGGAAGTCCACCTGAGTTTGAGTGAGGCCTTACCTCAAAAATAACTTTTTGCTTTTATTTTTCTAAATTTCTATAATACACATTACCTTTTTTTTTTAAATTTTGGTTTGTTTTTTGTTTTTAAGACAGGGTTTCTCTGTGTAACAGCAGTGGAACTTGCTCTGTAGACCAGTCTGGCCTCTTACTCATAGGGATCCACCTGCTTCTCCCTCCCTGTTGGGATCAAAGGTATGTGCTACCACACCTGGCTCACATTACCACTCCTATAAAGGTTATTTTTAAAGTAAATTATAAAGCTGTGTGTTGTTGTGCACATCTCTAAGCCCAGCACTTGAAAGGATGACAAAAAGGAAAATCAAGGTTGAGGCCAACTTGGCCTCAACAGACTGCCTCAAATACCCCAACACCCAAGGGTAAATATAAATTATGAGCACAACAATGTGTATATAAATGATAACACTGTACTATATTCATAGAAGATGGATGATTGGGTTTTTCTTAAAGGTAAAGGGTTGGATATGATGGCACATATCTTTAATCCCAGGACTAAGGAGGCAGAGGCAGGCAGATCTCTGAGAGTTCAAGACCAATGCGATCTACAGGGAGTTCCAGGCCAGCCAGGACCACATAGTGAGACTGTCTCAAACAAAAAGGCAGGAGAAGAGAGAAATTGGGGAAATGGCCCAGTGGATTAAGGTGTTTGTTTGCCGTCAAGACTGACAACCAGTGTGATTCCCAGGATTCCATGGATGAGAGAATTGACTCCTGAAATTATCTGACCTCCACTTGCACTTCTTACTATCTGTCTCTCTCTCTCTCTCAGGAGGCAAATGACTCAGTGGTGAGAGCACTGGCTGCTCTTCTAGAGAACCTGTTTCTCAGCACCCACCTGGCAGCTCACAAGCACCTGTGGTTCTAGTTCTAGGGGATGTGACACACTCTTCTGTTCTGAGGGTATTAGGCACACATGTGTGTTGCAGATAGAACTGCAGACAGAACACTTATTTACACAAGTAATTTTTAAAAATAAATTTAAAATGCAAAAAATAAATAAGGAAAAATGGGAAAAAGGTGAATTAGCTTTTTTTGTGTGGTACTGAGGATCGAATCAAGGTCATGCATAGGTTAGGCAATCTACACCCCCACCTCAAAAATGAGTTAATATTAAATCTGGCAATATTACTTCCATAC